GGCACATAAGCTTGTGCCATATGTGGAGAACGAAATGCATGTGAGATGTGTGGAAGCAAATACCTTGACGGTGCATGAGTTAAACAGCTACCACCTTGAGTACAATGGGCGTGATGGCAAGGTTTATCTGGTTGATATGAGAAATAAAAATTGCAGTTGCAAGAGGTTTGATATCGATAAGTATCCGTGTGTGCATGCAATAGCAGCTGCTATCTTTATGAGCGGGGATAGAGAGCTCCATCTACGTGAATTTTGCTCCCACTATTATTGGATGGAACATTGGTCGTTGGCTTACTGCAGGACAATCTATCCAGTCCCCCATAAAGATGACTGGGTTGTTCCTGACAATATCCGAGCAAAATGTATATTTCCTCCAGAAATAATTAAGAAAAAAGGACGCATCAACACAACTAGGCATCCATCAGTTGGAGAACATCGAGGGAGAGGAAGAGGAGGAAGAGGAGGAGGAAGAGGAAGAGGACTAGGAGCATGGTTGTTTAATGATCCTAATGTACCAGAGCAAGAGGAAGGAGAATAGTAATCGCTGTACAACTAGTACAACTATCGGGTACAACTAGTATAACTATTCATGTACAACTAGTATAACTATCGGGTACAACTAGTACAACTATCAGGTATTGGATCTTCTTTTTTTTTCTTTTTTTTGTTTTATTTAAAATACCGCATTTCGGAAAGCAGTATGTGTTTAAGGATTTAGAAAATAGATATGTAAATCCAACTTGATGCATTTTTGAATATTGAGAACACAAAAATCATATTTTCATAACATATACCTTATACTTCTATGACAACTATTACAACTAATGCGATATAGTTATAAGAAATTAACAAAAAAACATAATTTTATACATTTAATTATCTATATGTGTCTTAAATGTCTTATTATTAACTATTTTCAAAAGTAAAACAATAAAAATGTAATTTCTAGTACGATATAACTAATAAAATCGTTTTATCTATGAAATTGTGTAATAAAAAAAAATAGAGTACAACTTACCTACTTGGGTACAACTTTGTATATTATTTGACGGCGCGAAAAAAGTAATTAGTTATTTTTATAATTATTTTGCTGGCGCTCGTGTAGTTTGACGGCGCTCGTGTATTTTGACGGCGCTCGTGTAATTTGACGGCGCACATGTGGTTTTTGGGCCTGAAAATTTCCTTTTGTTCTAGTTTCAACAACACTAGTTGTACGCAATAATACCAGTTGTACTAAAAAATCTGAAAACATAATTTAATTAAAACAGTAAACCTCCTAATAGTTTTAACATATCACTAAAACTTGTTTCACCTAACATAAAAAACCTCCTACTAGTTTCAACCTAAACCATCTACTAGTTTCACCAAAAACCAATAACTAGTTTCAACAAAAACCAAAAAAAACTTGTTTCTTCTACTTCTTTTTTGCAGCCTCTCGTTTCTTCCTTTCTCCTGGTGCATCATTTTCGTAAGGAGTGGATATATGCCTCGATGGTTTACCCTTTCTCCTATTCCTAATGAGCTCAGCCGTCCTTTTAGCCTCAGCACTCTTCCGCATACATATTTTGTAGCGTGGTTTCTTTGCTGGTGGTTCAGGAGTCTCCGCAGGTACAGGTGTAGGTGCGTTTGTGGTCTCCACTGCAGGTACAGGTACGTCTGTGGTCTCCTCAGGTACAGGTGCAGGTGCGTCCCTGGTCTCCTCCGCAGGTACAGGTGCAGGTGCGTCCCTGGTCTCCTCCGCAGGTACAGGTGCAGGTGCGTCCCTAGTCTCCTCTGCAGGTGTCTCCTCCATACCGTTATCACCTACATTGCAAAATATTTTTTTTTTTAACATACACTTATGAGCGAGGAAAGAAATAAATATCTTTTTTTACCTCTTGCATTTGATCCTCCACCTGTTTCATACACTCTCCCCTCATCTTCATACTGAAAATCCATAAAATATGAATCTCTCCTTTGATCAGCTATTTTCATTTCTACAGACTTCAGTCTTGTGTCCATCTCATGAACCTTCTCATTAATCTTCCTAAACCCTTCTTCCATTTTCTCGTTAATCTTTATAAACCCTTCTTCCATCTTCTTCAACACATCCTCACTTCCTACCGCTTCAGTATCTGTCGGTTTGGGCAATGGCTGGTCTTCTCGCGATTTAACAACTAATAGGTACAGATCCTTCAAGTGTATTTTCTTCTTTTGTTGGACTAAAATCGTGTGTCAACTATCAACAACAGGGTCAGAAACAGTATCATCCTCTCCTACTTCGAAGTCATCCCATACATGCTCGTCTAGGATGTCAAGCAAGAGTTTGGCTTCTCCATCTTCAGGTACCAAGATACTAATAATATCCTGTTTAACAAAAAACAAAAATTAAATTAAACTAAATCTCTAATAATGTATAAATATAAAATTAAAGGAGACTTCTAAACCTTTGTATCTCCAAGCATTTCATAAATATCAGCTAAAGAAAATCCTGTTTTGTCTGTTCTCTTAAACTTCCACTTGCACATTTTTGGACAATCACCATCTGCATTCCCAACTTTTTCTTGAAATGCTGCTTTTAGAACCAGGATAGATTCAAACGCCAAAATCTGCACATATAAACGTACTAGTTATGCCAGTTCTACCAATAATACCAGTTCAACTAGTTGTACCTGAAACACGAGTTGTACCAATACTACTACCTATACACTATATCAAGTTGAACCAAGAATACTAGTTGTACTAATACTACGATTTTTAGTTGTACAAGTTATACTGAATTTAAAACATATAACATTACCTCTAAAGGCAATATGAACCCCGGAAAAGTCCAATTCCCTCAAACAGATCCTCCAAAATGAACCACCAGATGTGCAACCTCAGCTAAGACGTCATCAAAAGTGAAACGACCCCAGGGAAACGTTTCACACAGATCCAGATCATCCACCACTCGGAGAATGAATGGGTCTATGGATCCACCATATTTCTTGGACTTTCCTTTGATGACAGTTGCTAAGAAGAAAAGTACAACCATCTTCAACCGATCAGTACCACCTTCAATGAAATCCATTGATTCCAGCTTCTCACGCACCTCTTTCACCTCAATATTAGTCTTTCCAAACTGCTCCTCCACAAAATACATACTCCCTAACTGTTCATAGTCGGCTGGATAATGGTGGCAGAATAATCCTGAAAGAAGGCCGTGTTCTCTGATTGAATACCGAACAGGCACACCATTCACAACAAACCAACACTGCCGCTGCTTGTCTGTCACTGCTGTTCGGAGAAGCAACATCCACATTCCCATTAACATTTTATTCTTCTGGATAAACATGTGGACAATATGCTTGAATTGTGGGTGGTTCTCAAACCAGTTTCTCTCTGAGATATCAAGCCTCTTGAAGACTTCCATGAAATTAAAGGTTTCACACCTTGATTGAAGCTTCGGGTATAACCGATACTCGCTTTGCTTGAAGAATAAACCTCGAGGTTCCATCGGTATTGAGACGTCCTCTTGCTGCAATCAAAACGCATAGGATAAGTGAATATAAGTGTATTGGTACAACTAGTATTCTTGGTACAACTAGTATTCTTGGTACAACCAAAACCAAAAAATAAGTTGTACGCGATAATTCCAGTTGTACTAAACTACATTTCGTTCAACCACAAGCAAAAATCAGTTGTACGCGATAATTATAGTTGTACTAAACTACAATTCGTTCAACCACAAGCAAAAATCAGTTGTACGCGATAATTCCAGTTGTACTAAACTACATACCGGTAGACCACAAGCAAAACTCAATTGTACACGATAATTCTAGTTGTACTAAACTACATACCGGTTGTAATGGATCATTATTTGAGTTTGAACCCAATCCTTCTTCTGATGCAGTAGCATACTCAGCCTCAGATCTCTCTGGTTGAGAAGGTGAACCCCTAGTCGACATCCTCCAAAAATTCTGAAACAAAAAATCAGAAATCAGTTGGGGTTTAGGGTTGAGGGAAGAAAATCATAAATTAAGGTTTTAATTACTCTTAAGCCTAGAAGATACCTGTTCGGCGATGACGGAAGTGTGAAACGGCGGTTGTGGCAAGCCTAAAACGGCGACGGCGACGACCCTAAATCAGAAGGGTGAAGAGTGGAGAGTGAGTGCAAGTGAGTGGCGGTGAGCGAAGAGTGTGGGGATTTAATCGAAGAGGAAGAAGATGATGGAAGAAGACGAAAATGATGGAAGAAGATGATGGAATCGAAGAGTCCGAAAATGATGGAGTATGGAGATAATGGAATCGAAGAGGGGAGATGAAGGAGGTGGGAATAGATCCGATTTTTAGGGGGTAAGGTTTAGGTTTAGGTTTGCTTTCTGGTTTAATTAAATTGGATGGTTTAAAGGCTGGTTTAAAATAATTAAATTGGTTTAGTTTAATTATTTCGGTTAAGTTGGTTATAAAAATTGGATTTTGGTTTGAGTCTGGTATTCTGAATTGGATATGTAATTTGGTTATTCATTAATGGTTTTTTGGTCTTTTTATACCCTTTTGTATTAAAAAGAAAATCAAAAACAAAATATAGAGATAGAAAGAGTATATGAGAATTTCTTATAAGGGAGAGGAGTATGTGAGGTTAAGCTCCATATGTTTAATCACGAGGTGAAATATAAATATCTAAATAAAAAGTTGCGTTAATAAAATGATAAAAGAAAATAAAAGGGAATTTTAAAAGGATTGCAGCGATTGCCAAATGCAAAAAGAAAAAGAAAAAAACACGACTAGAAAACTGGTAACTTTTTCCTTTTGTCTTAAAAATAAATTAGATTCATGGGTTATAGAACTTATAACGTGAGTTTTAAAGACTAGGGTTTTGTAAATGTTTGTACTTAATCCCGAGCCCGAGGACACGTCAGTTAATCATAGCCATTTTCAAAATGAAATTTTCCCGAATGCACTAGAACTAGCTCGAATCATGAGCTCTTGATCTCTATTTTACAACTGTGTGCTCACTCTCTTCAATATCTGTTACAATGGCTATACTCGTATCGACTTAAGAGAGAGAAGGTGAAGGAATTGTAGTATGACTTTATACTCTCAGTGTCTCACACGTACCTTAATGAGAAGCACCTGCGGCCTGGATCAATCTACACGAAGATAAGACCCTCTCCTTCCCTTAGAGGTTTCAATACACACAGAGAAATCAGAAGATGAAAGACACATATTCTTCATACTGCTTTGCTTTTTATAGAATAGGAGATTCAGTTTTTTTTTGTTTTTCAAATCCGTCCTAGAATCCACAGAGACAATTGGCTCATCAATTCTGGTTGTTGTGACATTCCGGAATTGCTTAGATTCTTGAGATTCACATTTGAAGAGTTTGTATACCACGCCAAATTGTGTGTGTAACTACATTTGAATAAAAACTTGAATTAGTTGTTTAAGAGAAGTTATATCAAATACCAACTAACACATGGATTAAAAGATATATAAATATTTTTCTCTTTGAATAGTTGTAAAAAAAAGGAAATCTGAAAAAGAAAACAAATTTTGTATGTGAGAGTAGACTTACATCGACAATACATTATATTTATAAAAAGTTTATACTAATAACTAATATATTATGAATATAGAACACTTTATTTATTATTTATTAATTAATTTTGAATGAGATGTTCATGAGCCTTGAGAGTTGAGACAACAAAACGACTATGGTTTTGCTGTGTCACGTTCTAGAATGTGAATATCTAATTTATTTATACTTTGCATCTCTTCATTGATTTCTATGTAAAAACCAATTGACAATTACAATAAATAAAACTGTTCATAATTTCGTATTTTTATATATTACATCAGGTACGGTGTGTTATGTGTACTCCTCCTCATTCTACTTATTGAAATTGGGATGAATCATATTGAATGTATTTATCTTATTCATCATTCATTGCTATATTGTGCAATATTATAGATGTTTTTATTATTTTGAATGTAAGTTTAATATATGAAAGTGTGTAAGTAGTAGAATGTAAGTTTCATTTATTATAGAAATTTCAACGTGGAAGATAAAACGAAATAGATCTTGTAAACAACATAACTCGTAAGAGCAGTATTGACTAAAGAAATTTATATATGCTTCACCAATTTTTAATTCTACCTCATATGATATAGTCTATACTATAAAAGATGCTGAACTGACTTACACATCAATACTGGAGAGAGCGATGTTTCCTTTGAAATTTTAATTTAAAAAAAAAATTTTCCCAAAAATTCTTATAATGTTTCTTCACGTTCTCTTCACATTCGTTGCGAGTCTCCCCTAGAAGGTCTTTTAAAGTTCCCATCATAGCGGACTTTGTTTTGACGGAGCTTAACCGTCGCCTTTAAAATGGTTTCTTTCTTTAAAAACCCTAATCTTATGCAGACTCTGTCTTTGCTGCAATTTTCGAGCTCACTGCTGCATTGGTTTAATCGAAAGTGTAATTTCTTCTGTTTCCGTTTGAAATTTGCTATCTTTTCATCATGGGTTAAATGTTAGTGACCCCGATGCCTATGTTAATTAATCAAATATTGTTGTTTCAAATTCACTGTTGACAAATTTGGTAGCGGATACATTCAATTTTGGATTATCGACATGCGATTGTGTGGGTTTTGTGTTCTGATATGGGGTTTGTGTCCAAGTTTGAGTTCGACACTGATTCGAATGCTTAAAAAAATATGTTATTTTGATCGCATGTTTCTGATTTTGGCTCAGTCTCATTTGTGAATTATGAGTTAAATTTTTCATTTTTTTGGGTACTCGCACTGTAATCCAATGGTGATGAGCTATTAACCAGCTTCAAATCTGACATCTCCTGGGCTTTCACCATTTGCAGGGCAGGAGAGCAGCTTGTGGGGATAGAGCAAGACCCGTCTAATTTTACACCTTCGAATACGAGATTCCAGCGAGGAAGCTCTAGCATCCAGAGAAGGTTTAGCACCAATGAATCTATCAATCTCCAGATTCCTCTGTACTTCAAAGTTTGGGTTCGATTCGGGAACCTGATATGATTTTTTATAAATATATGCTTAATTAGGGTTTCACGATTAATTGTGAGCAATTTGATTACCTGCTATATAGTTGTTTTTAAGAAGACGCACATGTTCATGATCATGATTTATATTCATATCTTTGAGAAACACAACGAAGCTGAGGTCAGTGTTTGGATCCTTCTTCTTATACATGTTCATGATTTATATTCATATCTTTGGCTGGGTTTTTAAATTACGTAGATGAGAATGTAAATTCAAAAGGATTAGTATTTGGTCAGCGTTTTCTAATGATCTGGTTATACATTTACATATTATTCCCCTCATGAACTGTGGTTTTAGATATTTAATATCCTTTTTATGGGTTTGTCGGATTTGGATTAAAGAAGAGAATTTACTAAGATTGGGTGATTGTATTTGAGTTTTTGAAGATGCAGATTGTAAAGAAAAATCTGGGGAATGCAAAAGAGGAAGAAACAGAGTTTTTTTTTTTTTTTGGTAAAAAGAGGAAGAAACAGAGTTATTGGACGAAGGTTTTGTTGATCCTCACACTAATTCTTTTCCCCATATGTTTGGGTAATTTCTCCTAATACTTTTAGAAATTGTAAGAGAATTTAAAAAAACAGCTTCTATGTTGTTGTAGAATTATGTTTTCTGTTAAAGAAAAAAGGTCATCGAAAACAAGGAAAAATGGTTCAAATTAGAAGCTTTCAGAAACCACTTCTTATCATATCTTCCTATTCTGTTTAAGTGGATAACTGGAGAATAAACATGAACCTCTGCCTTTTCTTGCCAAATATATGTATTACTTGCTATCTATTTATATTTACTGTTTACTAATAAATTATTTCAAATTTTGGAGGGTTATCGATCAAAATTTGTTATTCGAGATTATGTGAATTAAAGATTAAACAAAATTTTGATCTATGGAAAAATATGAATCATATACATATTAATATTGGTAGGTGATTTGTAAACTGTCATTTCTTTTAAAAAAGGTCCAATAAGATCAAAAACTAATTTGAAATATATAAAAGCTTCAGTCTCCAACAAAGAAATTATTTTCAACAAATTCCACTTATTCCATAAAAATGTGTATTAAATTTATAATGATTTAATTATTTACTAATACAAAATAAACCTGTGCATATGCCCGGGTACTTACCTAGCAAAGGTAAAACGTAAGAAAAACTTTTGCTTTTAGTGTATTAGTAAATTTCTCAGGATTCAAATGATAATAGTAATGATGACTTTTATCTCAGAAAAAATAAATGAATAAAAGGATTTAAAAATTTACCGTTATAGACAATTTTTGTTTTGATTTGGCAAATAAGATTTATATTATTCTATAGAGTATATATTTTGTTTAATGCATAGACTATAAAGATCTCTATATTATTATTTGAGTAGACATTTTAAAATATAACATTTATTTTGTAAAATATTACATGATATGCCATTACAAATAACAAAGAATAATTAAATAGGAAAGGATATAGTTGTCTTTCAACTCTATTGTTAAAAATATGGAAAGTCTTTATTTCTCATTTAATAGAATATATTTATTATTTAATTTCTAAATTCAAAAATATGATAGTTTTTATTATTTTTATTTTCAAATGATATTATAAAGTATATTTAATTAAAAACGTGAAAATAAATTTTTGAATTTAGAAATATTATAAAAGTCAAAATTAAAAGTTATGATATTAAAAAAGTGGTGAAATATTTTTTTCAATAATTTGCTACATTTGATTGATTATATACACAAATACTTTTTTAGTTATTTTACTAAAAATTTGATATGAAAAATTGATTTTTAAATAAAAAAAGTTTGTGGTGAAATGAGAGTTATTAAACGGTGAATATTATAATTAATTATTAAATTTTAATCCAATACAAATATGTTAAGTAAACGGGTTAGTTCGATATGTACAGATTATAATTTTAATTTTTTAATACCCACAAAAAACCTCAAAATTCAAAATATTAATTTTTAAAAATAGGTAATATATTCAATCTACTAAATTATAGATTTTTTAAATTAAATATAATTTGTTGTATATTTATTTATTATATATCAAACCTAAGTGTAAAGAATATTATATTATTTTCATATATAGTTAAAAAAATAAAATAAAGTTTTTATAGTTAGTGAACAGATTATAAATATCAATTATTAAACGATGCAAATTAGAGTTGATGATTATAATATTATAATTTTTATATAATAGCCTAGATAATATTTTAGTTTAGTGTCAACGGTTTAAAACAACTTATTTTGCTTTACACGCTTATAAAATAAATTCATATACGGATTAACTCATTTTTTATAATTCAAAAAAATATATAAATATATACAAATCAACTCATTATTTAAAATTCACAAAAATATGCACTATATTATTGTAAACTTTATAACAATAACTATTTTTACAAAATAACTGTTTTCATCAAATTATTTAAATTAGTTAAAGATTAAAAATATATCTCCTGCACTATAGCGCGGGTTAATCCCTAGTAATTCTAATAGAAAATTATAAATGATAAACTCAAATAAAAACAAATAAAGTTATACTTATTTTTATTTTAACAATAAAACAAAAAAAACTATTTAGTTTTTCAGTTTTTGACCAAACTAAACCGAAACTAAATCTTAAAAATATGATAACTAAATAGAGAGTTTTAGGTTAAACTATAACCAAACCAAATCATTTCCTGGTTTAGTTTGGTTTGGTTTTTTGTTAAGTTTTTTTTTCCACCCCTAATTTGTAAGATGAGGGTGAATTATTTGATTGAGAAAATTTTGTTTTTTGAATTAACTTGGTAAAAATATATATATATATTTTTTCTTAAAACAACCCAAAAAGGTCAGAATATATTCCTTTAGCATATATTCGTTTTGAATTACTTTTCTACCTTTGCAGAGGAGATTTGATGTTTCTTTACTGAAATTTTGATCTTTACTTGTGGAGATAATTTTGCAGAGGATTTGATGTATTTTTACAGAGATTTGATCTTTGCTTGTGGAGATAATTTTGCAGAAGATTCTTTACTTTTCCAACTCATATTACGTAAAAAAGAAAATTATCACATTCAAATTTAGTATATGTTTGTCGAGTTGAAATCTTTTTGTCCAATAATCAATTTTTTTGGGGGGGGGGGGGGGTCGTATAATATTCAACGGGGAATTGTCTTGTTCATTATCAAACACGTTATGATATTTTTCATGGAAAGATACACAAGGGCTAGATTTAATGATTTCATTCATTAATGAGCGTTGTCTCACATGCACACAAACAAAGCATTTGTACGTGTATACATCATGGTAAAGGAATATAACCATCAAGTATAATACCAGATTTAATAGTTTAAATAGGTTATAAAAATGTTCAAAATGTATAATTGTTGATAAGGTGTTTGACAAAACAAAAATGTTGATAAGGTGAAATCAGGTTCTTGGCACTCAGAGTGGAATGCCCCTTTTGTATGGACTGTAAACACGACTTCCAAATAGATTGATTACAACAGGTGTATTTGTTCTTAAAAAAAAAATTAGGTAATTATCTTATGCGGGATAAATATTAATTATAATTTTTTATTTAAATATATAAATATAATATATATATATATAAATACAATTATAAAAATGTTAGTTGATATTTATAATTACAAATCTATGTACTGATTATGTAATTATAAATAATAATTACAATTATATTTATTTTTTAATATAACTGCATAAATGCTAGATAATTATTGGTAATTTTAATCGTATTTTTTATATGAAAGAAATTGTACATTTTGAATATACTAAATTGGATTAATAAGTTCTATCTAACCAATTCAACATATGATTAAGATATTTTGTTTTTATATCAAAAAATAGAATTATATTATGTATAAAAAAAATAGACAATATAATTATCTTTTAAACAAAATTAATATTAAAAATGAGATAAATAAATATAATGTTAAGTACCATAAGTAATATTAGGTATTAAATTTTTATAAATATGGTGATAAAAGATATAAAGAGAGAATATTTTTACAAATTAAATATGGAATATTAACTGTATAATTGATATAAATTAATCTCTGACCAAATTAATATTAATGACATGTAATTATTCTAGTAAAGCAATCAAATTTTTATGTGTTTTGAGAAGTTTTCTCAATACATCAAATGACACTTTTATAAATCACACGTTTAAAATGTCATTCTCAATTAATAATATATATAAGATTTGGACATGATATAAACATTTAGTAAGTACTAGTATTATCCGTCGATTAGCTAAATTCTTTTCATCGCACACTATATTTGTATTTATTGGTTTTTAATAGTGAAATTCATAGCTCCAAAACCTACCATTTGTTACAATTTTTACATCTACTTCGAAGTCATTGTTTCATGTCAGTCATTAGCTCTCATGATTCAATTTGTGACTTTAGCTCTAATTAAAAGAAAATATATTTCCAAGAAAATACATTTCCAACTAGAAGTATATTTCCAAGTCATTGTGCATGTCAGCCTTTAGGTCTCATGATTCAACTTGTGACTTTAGCTCTAATTAAAAGAAAATAGTTACTTAAAGTCTATCTCTCCATCTCTCTCTTAGTGACTCACGGATATATAAATAAGACTTGCAGCTACATTGTTTTATACTCTCGACTCTTTTATGATATAATACTCCACACTCAAAAAAATGTGGATTTCTCAAGTCTTTCATGATATATTCTACAAAAAAAATGTGGAAGGGTACAGATTTGGGCAAGGCTTACATAAAATATACGATAGCTACAAAACAAAAGGAGGTTGATGCCGCCTTAAAAGCTCTAAAGTCAAATTCCAAGAACCGTAAGAAGTTGATCGGTTTGAGCATGGAACCAATTCAAGAACCAAGACAAGAAGAGTTATCAGCTTATGTTCTCCTTTGTGATGAAAGTCGATGCGTTATAATTGACCTTGCTTCCTTACATGTTATACCCAAATCTCTCTACGAATTCATCACTTGTTCGAGCTTTACTTTCGTAGGTTTTGAGATAGCGGATACAATTGCTCCTAGACTTGAGAAGTATGGTTTGGTGTGTAAGAACGTCCTCGAGGCTGGACCATCGTTTCCCAAAACGCTTTCTCAGCTTCTGTCTCTGCGTCCAGGAGATCGTAGGACGACCGTAGGTGTACTTTCCGTTACTAACTAAGTGGAACTTTCCGTGGTCTCTATCTCAAAAGCCTATGCTGCGTTTTATGTTGGAAGCATGCAATATCATACAGTTAACGTGTTTACTTCTAGGAAAGTTTTTTGTTTTCGGTTCAATACATCAAAAAAGAAAAGTATGTTGTATTTAGATTAACTTATAAGAAAAGTTATCTTTCAAGTACTTTTTTTCGTTTTAGGTTATAGTAGAGGTTGCTATGTTGTTAATTTCTGCTTCATGGTGTCAAAATGTCCCTCCAGTTCATGTTACCTAAATAAACCATAACTGTAACTGCTCTGTTATCTGTGTGTAAGATGAAATTGTGATCATATATGCTTAATGTATTTATTCAACAACTGCAAGAAAATTCTCATTTCATATTTCTCTTTTCTCATAAAGTCGTTCTCGCTAAAATGGTAAGAAAGACACTAGATTTCCAATTTTACCATTTAATTCAATAGTTGGTTGGTTCTAATTTATCTCATATATATACATCTTCTTCCATTAGTACATTCACAAGACAATGATTTTTCATTTCCCAAGTAATTCCACTTAGAATCTCAGCAAAAAGGCAGAAGAAACATTTTAAAAAGTAGATGATTGTCGGGATGCAAGGAAGAGATCCTTTACTCCTCATAACAACAGCATTTTGCGTAATCGATGATGTCATTTTCACGGCTCAAATTAATCCATCACTTGTGCTAAGAGAAGAAAAAGGATGTCAAAGGCAAAGCAGAGGAAGATAAATCAACCATGGTTATTCATTTATTGTGGGGACATTTATGTATGAATGGTCTTTCTTTTTTTCTGAAGCCCAACTTGTTTCGAAGTCTACAAACATATATACATTTGCTTAGGCAAGCTAGAAACATCCGTGTTTTGTTAATCACAGTGTTGTATAGGACTACTGCTCAGTGCCAAAGTAACGATCACCAAACTCGCCCAAGCCCGGTATACCACAGAACTCTTGGTTCAGACACTGGTCCGTGAAACGTTTGCAGACACAATGGATTCTAGTGCAGCGAAAGGATTCAGAGGAAAGAAACTCGTTGCAGAGGTTTAAGCAAAGTGCAAAATAGGTTCTGAAAGAAAATTAGCTTGTGATTTGCAAAGAACTAATACGGCTTATAAAGCTCTGTTTATTAATTCTGTAAATCTATCGAACCTTTACAACTTAGGTTCGTATATATAGGAATAGAAAAGAAAACCTAATACGTTTCCTAAAAGGATTAGAAGAAAAAGAAATAGAAAAAAGAAAATAAATACTTATGCTTATCCTAAGTAAGAAATAATTAAAAGCTTGCGGTAAAAGAAAACGAAGTTGCGTTGCTTTCGACGATGCGCTGCATCAGGTCCCCGGGGGTAAGAGAAGATTCGTCTCTGAATCTTGAGGGTCATTGTCACCAGCATAAGGACTCAGATACTTAACATTGAAGACATTTGCTGTTTTGAGGTGCATGGGCAGTTCGAGACGGTACGCATTGGCATTAATATGCTCCAACACTTTGACAGGCCCAATCTTCCTTGAACGTAGTTTATTGTATTCATGCGCAGATAGACGGTCTTTTGTCAAATATACCCAGACGAAATCACCTGGTTCAAAAAGAAGCTCCCTGCGATGCTTATCTGCGGCCGTCTTGTACTTTGTCGCTGCCGACTCCAAATTAGCACGAGCTTGAACATGAACTTGGTGCATATTATCCACAAAAGTGCCAGCAATACCATGAGGTCGGACTTGATCTGGCAACGCAGTTAGGTCCAAGGGGCCACACGGAACGACGCCGTAAACCACATGAAATGGAGAATAACCAAGGCTTCGATTAACAGAATGATTGTACGCAAACTCCACCTGTGGCAAACGTGTTTCCCAAGAACGAATATTCTCGCCTACCAAACCCGCAACATATTACCAAGAGATCGATTTGTAACTTCGGTCTGGCCATCCGTTTGAGGATGATACGCAGTGCTCATGTCAAGTCTAGTTCCTAGCATCTTCCATACCGAACGCCAAAAATGACTCAAAAATCTTGTATCACGATCGGAAACAATAGACGTAGGAAGCCCATGAAGGCGATATACCTCCCTGAAAAACAACTGAGCCACTTTAACTGCATCCGTAGTTCGTTTACAAGGAATGAAGTGTGCCATTTTGGAGAAACGGTCCACAACAACGAAAATGGAATCACTTCCTCGCTGAGTACGCGGCAATCCCAACACAAAGTCCATACTAACATCTGTCCAGGGCTGTGTAGGGACAGGCAATGGCAAATAGAGTCCAGTGTTAGAGGCCTGACCCTTAGCAAGCTGACAGGTACGACAGCGTTCAACGAAACGCTCAACATCTCTGCGTAACGTCGGCCAAAAGTAGGAACTTGAGACAAGCTGCAAAGTCTTATCACGTCCCACATGTCCTTCAGCGTGAAACTCGGAGATAAGACGCAAACGAAGGCTGCAATCCGGTACACATAACCTAGTGTTCTTGAACAGAAACCCATCATGAAGCACAAAATCCGAACGACTCCCTTGCTGGATGTCACGGAGAATAATAGCAAAATAAGGATCAGAAACATACAGCTCGGAAAATGTGGCAAAACCCGGAACTGAAGTATGCATTGTTGTGAGAAAACAATGACGACGGCTCAGCGCATCTGCCACCTTATTCAGCTTACCAGACTGATGCCTAATCGTAAACGTAAACTGTTGCAAAAATGCTATCCAATTCGCATGCCGAGATGAAATCTTTGCTTGACTGTCTAAATGCTTTAGAGCATCATGATCGGTGAAAAGAACAAACCCGCGGTGAAAAAGATAATGACGCCAATGCTTAATCGCCTGAATGATCACATAGAACTCGACATCATAAGTACTATAACGACTTCGTGCACCCGCAAGTTTTTCACTGTAAAAAGCCACTGGACGTGATTGCTGACTTAGAACTGCTCCAATGCCCAGCTTCGAAGCGTCACAATGTAGTTCAAACGGAAGAGAGAAATCTGGCAACACGAGAATTAGCGCGGTAGTAAGCTTGGTTTTGATGAGCTCAAAAGCAGCTGCTGCGTCAGAAGACCACACAAACTTACTCTCTTTCATGCAATCAGTTATCGGTGCCATGATAGAACTGAAATGAGGCACAAAACGTCGATAAAAGGATGCAAGCCCATGAAAACTGCGAACGTCAGAGATCGTTCGGGGAACCGGCCAAGAACGAATTGCCTCTACCTTACTGGAATCTATAGACAAACCCTTATCAGAAACCACGTACCCCAGAAATAAGACCTTATCCACTCCAAACTCACACTTTTGTCTAGCAACAAATAACGACTCTTTGCGCAGGATAGTAAGAACCTGTCGCAAGTGATCAAGATGGTAAGCCAAACAGGAGCTAAAGATGAGGATGTCGTCAAAGTAGACGACCACAAAGCGCCCAATAAAAGGACGTAAGGCCTGATTCATGACTCTCATGAAAGTACTAGGGGCGTTAGACAAGCCAAAAGGCATGACGAGCCACTCAAATAGCCCCTCATGCGTTTTAAAGGCTGTTTTCCACTCATCACCAGGTCTGATACGAATCTGGTGGTAACCACTCTTTAAATCCAGCTTAGAAAAGATGGAAGCCTTGCCAATCTGATCCAACAAATCATCTAAACGCGGAATAGGAAACCGATAACGAACAGTGATTTTGTTGATTGCTCTGCTATCTACGCACATACGCCAAGACCCATCTTTCTTAGGAATAATAAGTGCAGAAACAGCACAAGGACTTAAGCTTTCCCTGATATGACCACGTGCAAGTAGCTCCTCTACTTGTCGTCGAAGTTCCTCGTGCTCTTGTGGGCTCATACGATAATGAGGACGATTGGGCAGAGAAGCACCAGGAACCAAATCAATTTGGTGCTGAATATCGCGTAGAGGAGGCAGCTCTTGTGGTAACTCAGTAGGAAATACATCCATAAAATCAGACAGCAACTCCGAAAAACAAGGAGACAACGGAGGAGGAGAAGATGTGGTGTTACTAGCAGCCACCAAAGCCCACACGCAATCGTCACGTTGGAGTTCTTTCTCAAAGTCTCCACGTGAACAGAACAAAACAGACGAGCTACGAACCTCTGTTGACCCTGCAGAAGAATCAGCAGCAAGTGGAGGAGAAGGAGGTGTGGCTTGCGGAGAGGGAAACAACACAATTTTTCGATTCTCAAAGACAAAACTGTAACAATTGCGGCGACCATCATGCATCACATTACGATCATACTGCCATGGTCTCCCCAAAAGTAGATGACTAACATCCATCTGCGCAATATCACAATAAATCTTATCCTTTGTAGTGAGACCCGATAGAAAACGAAACCAAGCAACGATGCTCAATGCGAATTTCAACTCCTTGTTTTAACCATGCGAGCTTATAAGGTGCAGGATGTTCTTCACGCTTTAATCCCAACTTGCGAGCCGCATCTTCCGCAATGACATTGCGACAGCTACCAGAATCCACAACAAAACGACACACCTTTCCCTTGATTGTAGATGTGGATTGGAAAATATTGGAACGAAGCCACGGCTCCTCGATCACTGCCGGTGCGAGACACACATGTCGTAACATCAAAGATGGCCCTGTATCTCCATGATTATGGTCTTCCAATAAAGTTTTATCCATCGCATCTCGTCCACCATATGTTCATTAGAGTCCCACTTGACCTCATCACCATACAATCCTCTCCGCGTCTGTTTTGGACAAGCGGTTTGCAAGTGTCCTTGTTCACCACAAGTAAAACAGCGCAGAGCGTTTGGACGCGTAGAACGTCGAAGCTGCTGGTCAGTGCTTTGTTGGATCTGTTGGTGATCAGGTTTAGAAGTTTCTGTTGACTCTTTCCGGTTTGACTGTCCGTGAGAACCTTCACCTGTTGATACTCGCAGAAGTACGCGAACGAGAAAAGCTCGAGTTCCAACCTGTCGACGAGGATTTGAACTGTTGTTCAAACGCAACTGCTCTCCGGTGAGCCTCTGACACAGTATCTGGATCGAATTGTGCCATTGCCGCTTGAAGTTGTGGTCGCAATCCTCCAATGAAACGAGACACCAATTGGACCTCACTGTCATAAATCTCCAGTACGCGTTAACAGTAACGAAAACTCCTCCGCATAATCATCAACGGAGCGAGCACCTTGCCGTAAATTTTGCAATCGAGTGTACAGGGTTCTATCAAAATTATAAGGCAGAAAGCTCTTCTTTAAAGCTCGTTGTAACTTTGCCCAAGTTTTGATCTTTTCCTTGCCCAAGCGAGACTTTGTTGTCTTCAATTTGTATCCACCATGAAGCTGTTAGCTTGACCACTCATTCATTGGTTCTTCTCTTCGTTCGTTGTTAGCTTGATTGGTGTTTTTTGGAGGCATCGTAACAGTTGAACGGTGAAGAAGAAAAGAAAATTTCGCAGGAACGGCCAGGCTCTGATACCAAAACTAGTGCAGCGAAAGGATTCATAGGAAAGAAACTCGTTGCAGAGGTTTAAGCAAAGTGCAAAAGAGGTTCTGAAAGAGAATTAGCTTGTGATTTGCAAAGAACTAATACGGCTTATAAAGCTTTGTTTATTAATTCTGCAAATCTATCGAACCTTTACAACTTAGGTTCGTATATATAGGAATAGAAAAGAAAACCTAATACGTTTCCTAAAAGGATTAGAAGAAAAGGAAATAGAAAAAAAGGAAATAAATACTTATGCTTATCCTAAGTAAGAAATAATTAAAAGCTTGCGGTAAAAGAAAACGAAGTTGCGTTGCTTTCGACGATGCGCTGCATCAGATTCCCTCCGGCGCCTTTCAGATAACAAGGTTTTGAGTGAGTGAGAGAGAGAGAGAGAGAGAGCTTGAGCTTGAGAGAGAGAGAGAGAGCTTGAGCTTGAGAGAGAGAGAGAGAGCTTGAGCTTAGAGAGAGAGAGAGAGCTTGAGCTTCTACACATATAAGGTTAAGGAGTATAATGTGAATCCATGAACTCCTTACGGTATGAATAGTTCAATGGCATAATTGGCAGAGTTACCTTCAACAACAAGCAATAATCATGGAGATAGAGTATGCAACCTAAAGAAACAGAGTACCTGTAGCTAAGACATGGGGTTCAGAGATGTCATGAGGAAGCTTCTCATATATAAGCTGATTTACATGAGAAGAGAAACCTTAATATTCTTGTTTACAAAAAGAGATGGTAATAACATCTTACGGATAACTTGAGACTATACCCTTTCTAGCCTTCTGATTCTCAGGACCCGCTTTGGTGCTTCATGCTCTCAAGTTCAACCAAACTTCCTCTTTGATCTTTTTTACAACTTTTCTTTCGGGTTTTAGCATTGTGTCTATTGTTTTAACCATTTATATTTTTTTTTTTTGTCAACAACCATTTTTATTCTATTAGTTGCAAGTTTTTCAACAATGGCTATCAACCTTTATCTGTACATAGACTTGTTGAAGAACAGTAATGATGTCAAATACTGGGCCCAAACTCGGGTCCAGATTCTAATTAAGTTTTTGTGCTTTATAATAATGCATTTGCTAGGGTTTACAAGTTTATAAGATTACAAATCTGAATTCCATTTATTAACAAATTTAATTATATCTTTCTTTATAAAGTAGAAACTTAGAAAAAAAGATAATATTAAATCCGTACAAGGCGGGATCACTTTCTAGTAATTGAGTAAGCAACAAGAGCTTGATAAATCATAAGAGAGTAAATAAATATATCACAAGCACAAGAAACTTGTGTAGGTTATTTAGAACTAAGACATACAACTCCATCTAATGTCTAGTCATAAATTTAGGCTTTACTCGTCAGTGCCAAAGTAACGATCACCAAATTCTCCCAAGCCCGGTATAACACGGAACTCTTGGTTCAGACACTGGTCTATCTCAGACGTCACTATCTTCAATGCCGGAAAACGTTTGCAGACGCAATGGATTCCCTCCGGCGCCTGTCAGAAAGCAAGGTCATGATTAGCAGAGAGAGAAGCAAAGACTAAAACAGAGAGAGAGAGAGAAACAGAGACTACAATCACCGAGATAAGATTCAGGAATATAATGTGAGATTCAGGAACTCCTTTCTGTATGAGTAGCTCAATGGCTTGATTAGCAGAGTTACCTTCAAGAACAAGCAACGATCATGAAGAACCATGTAGCTAATGAAACAAAATATGCAACGTAAAGAAATCGAGTACCTGTAGCTAAGACAGGGTCTAGAAGCAGGACATGGCGTTCAGAGATGTCGTGAGGAAGCTTTTCATATATAAGCTGATTCACATGAGAAGAGAAACTTTAGATTTCTTGTTTACAAAAAAGAGATTATACTCAATATTTTAAAAAGAGCAAATAGCAGACCTGTTTTCCATTGTCCCCATCACGGTGGATAAGAATCTTCCCTATCTTAATTCCTTTGCAGCAAGCGCGTAATGCATTTTCCATGCTTTCACCACTAAGAAGACATACATAACAGAAAACTTTTAGGTAAGATCAATTAATCATAAAAAGCTATATGTGCTTCTAATATATTATACAGTTGGAAGAATGAGCATCTTCTCAAATAAAAACTTAACCAAAAACAATACCTTTTAAGGCTCACCTTCGAATAATTGAGACCCCGCAAAGTTTCTTGCAGAAATCAACACCGGTATACACAGCTCCTGGTGTGGAAAAGATAAAGAAATGTAAAACCAATTGAATAAGCTAACTCTAACAAATCTGTGTGGTATCGATAAACGTGGCAACAGTTTTTCTAGATCCATGTGACAAAGACAGACATCTGATGACCTAGTTGGTTGCATATTTAGAAATCATGGCTTTATCTAAGAAAGTGTATAAAGTATTGATACAGCTCACGCAGCCTCCTCTCATACCTGTTGGAGTAACTACTTGTTTCTCAGTGAACGGCAAATGACCAAGACCATGCTCCACGACCTGAAAAAAAAAAAATCCCGACAATAGTTAAAATATGAAAGTCTGAAAGCTGAGTGACGATTAAAGAGATGACATGAGGCAGAGAAAGACCAGACGAATGAGTCGATCTGAATAAAATACAAAGTCATGCTTTGATATGTCCTTCTCCCGAATAAGTGTATGCATGCCTCTTATCTGCAATCGTGATCCTATAGTGAGACCATTGATACAAGTACTTACCGTCTAAACCAAGCATCACAGAGTGTAATAGAGAGAAAATACCTGAAATGTTGATTGGATGACATAAACATTCGGGTAGATTTTGCAGAGATCATGCTGCCCAAGTTTTGTGTGGATATGTTGAGTGATCAAATCAACTGCGACGTGATTATCACCTCCGCGAGGAATGATCACGTCAGCATATTTCTTGGAGGGAAGCACAAAGTCGTCAAATGCCGGCTTCACAAACTTTGCATACTGTAAATGAATATAACATCTTCAGATAAATAGTGTTTCGCAAATACAACAGCAGGAAGAAGAAACCAGAGTAAAGACACAATGAGATGTTTGCGAGAGTATAATTGCCATGTGTTGTTCGTTCCAGATCTCTTATTCACAGACATTATCAAGCCACCAACGTGGGACAGATGAACCAATCCTACACCATAAGTTGAAAGGACTAACCTGTTCGAGCACAGAATTGACATCTCTGCCTCTCTCAACTGTGTCACGCCTGATTCTGCGAGCAAGCCTCACATCAGCATCTGAAACCATACATACCTTTATATGAGGATAAGAGAAATATGAAATAGATTCCAATTTGGCTAGGATAACAGATAACATAAATGAAAAAAAGTGAGAAAACGCATCCAGGCATCAGCTACAGAACAGGAAATGGACAAAATTTATCACAATATCATTCGCAATGAGTGAAAAACGATGAGTAGCACAGGACATACGCATGCTTTGGGGATATGAAAAAGAAATTGCAGATGAGATAATACTGAAGGTAAGGTAGCTCATTACCTGTGTCAACGAAGATCTTCATATTCATCAGATTCCGAACTCGTGAGTCATGGAAAACTAGAATCCCTTCCAAAATGATAACATCAGAAGCATTGACCTGACAGAGGGCCCAAACTGATATTAATATAATAAATCAACACAAATCTCATCCACTGCAAGCCGGAAATCAACTCATTCTTTCTAATGTAAGAGACGTGATCTAAAACTTCAACTATGGAATTCAAAGGGATCTCGAAGATATGCTACTATGCCCCTTAAGTTAAAAATAGGAACACATCTATAGCCACTCTTAAGAGGATTCAAATCATACGAGCACAAAAAATAGTCTTGCAAAGAAGAGTATGCACCTGGCGGAAAGTATCAGATCTACGTTGATGAGTCTTAAAGTCGTAGATTGGAACTTGATACGGTTGCCCGCTCTTGAGAGTCTCAGCACAATGCAAAAGCTGCTCGGTGTCAAAGGCATCTGCAAAAGAAACAGAAACAGAAGATGATAAATTGACCAAACACAGCCCTTGAATTCAACCTCACTGTATTTAACCCAACATACAAGCAGAGAGAATATTCAAGGAGAATCCATTAAGATAGTTTACCTGGATGATCAAAGTTGTACTCTTGCACACGCTGCAATTCTTCAGATGTCAAACCACGGTAAAAGGAATCCTAATCAACAAAAAACATCAATTATATGATGTGAATCTCAGCCAATCAATATTCAATACAGTGGAAAAGTGAGAAGGGAGAACAGAATCAAACCTGATTAACTAGAACAACACGATGATCATGAAGTTGCTGGATTATCATGTCACAGACCGTTGTCTTACCAGAAGCCGTACCACCAGAAACCCCTATACACAATCAAGCAATCAAACGCAAAACCAAACAAAACGCAGACTAAAGACTATGCCCTGGAAACTGATATTCATGCAGAGATGGTTAATCTTTATACAGTTGAAACCAGATTAGTTAGCACAAACTCCAGGAGCACAACACAGATCTCATCAATCAAGAGACGAAACCCAAATTATCCAAATTTGATCAAACCAAAGCATGAGAAAAAAAACAATTAAGTAACGAAATAGGGGGGGATTGAGGAATCACCGATAACGAAGGGCTGTTTGGGAGCTTCGGGATCGGAGAAATCAGGAGAAGAAGAGGAAGAAACAGCCGATCGGAGGTGAGAAGGAGAAGAGACGGAGGAATTGGGTGGAGAAGAAGAGAGAAGGCCGTCGAAGCGAAGACCGGAGAAGTGAGGCCCCGATGCCTTCTCCATCGCGTAGTCTATCGACGAAGAATCCTCCGGCATTGAATTCCGATGAATCGGTGGTTGCGAAAATTTTGGGTTTTGTGATTTTCCGGCGAAGAATCAAGCGACGTCGAATCGGAAACAAAAAAAAAAATCTCCGTAGTGAAGAAGACTGACGAGTGACAACGATTCTGTTCAACGCAAAGTAGACCACTTTGTCTCACTCTCCCTTGTATTTATTTTCAAAATGTGTAATTAGGTTATTTCAAAACATGCCAAATACTGTGATTTAATTTAAAACAATCTGGCTATAGTTATGGTTACAATATTTGATTCTGGATTTATAAAAATTTTAAGTTTAGACTTGTTAATACTTTGATACGTACTCCACCAAAAATTGATGATAATTAAGTAAGAAATGAAACAAAGAGATTTAGGGGGTGTTATTCAATCATGAATTTGAAATGAATTTTCTATGTTTTAATTTCTGCAATATACACTGGATTTTGATTCTAATAATTTACTCATAAAATTTTATTATAATTGATTTGAAATGACTTAATGTACAAAGATTTTAAAAATTATTTAGTTTTGAATAATACTGGAATTTAATGAAAGATTTGGAATCTTTATTGACTAACACCAAACTTTAAAACCTCTTAAATATGATTTACAATCAAAAGAACCAATAATACTTGATTTTAAAACATTATTTAGAATCATTAGTTGAATAATAGTGGGTTGTGGTTGGATTTAAATTCTATTAAAAACCATGATTGAATAACACCCTCTTAATGGCATATCATATTGATGAGCATATATAAAAGAAGAAGAATGGATATTCCATTTTTTACCAATCTAAGTAAGCCCCACTTATTATGAGACATGTTGCATGGTCAAACCAAAGAGTTAAAGTAGATCAACTTTTTGGGTATTTTTGTAGTGTTTGTCACAATCCTTATACTTTTGGACAAACAAAGGCAAATTTCATCCACCAAATTTCAATATACAGTACAGAATCTAGTACTCCATTTAAACATAGGCAAGCATGGGCAAACAGGATCTAGTAATAGGAATTTTTTTTTTTTCAGTCTGATTCTGATTTGTATCAAACTGAAATCATATCATCAATCCATGAACATAACTGTTCCAAAAAAGTTTTTGATGAGGGACTTAAACATTTAAGTACGTGTTCATTGGACTTAATGTTTACAGATATTTTTAAGTTTTTGATTAGGGACTTATACAACTTTTACTATTCCCTCTGCTTAAAAATATAAGATGTTTTGAAGATTATTTTTTGTTTAAACATATAAATATTCTCACATTTTCATGCAACCATAAATTTACTGAATAATGTATGAACAAAGTATATCATATAGTTTTTTACTATTAATTCATACATTAAATGATAATTTTTGAAGAAAAATAGGTTTGCTAATCTTTGTGTTTTTAAGTAAAACATCTTATATAGTTTTCCCAAAATCTATGAATTCTGATTAGAATTGACAAGTGAAAGAGCCTTTAACTAATACTAATGTTCGACCTAGTATTCAGAATTATGTTAGATTCTTCAAATTTCACCAGAAAATGATCCAAAAACTAACAATAATTAAATCGTACAAAAGCTTCTCTTCATCTAGATCATATGTTGTCTTCTGTTATTCATCATAGCAAATCAGCAAGAATTTAAACCTGTAAAATTGTCAAGCTAAAAGTTTTCAGATTTTGATTATAAAATATCCTTTCTTTCAATCTCATTTCACATGACTTTTCTTCTTCTTCTTCTTCTTTCTCTTCTCCATTAAACTTCCTTTAAAAGATGATAATCTAGGAAGACAACGATGATGGTAATTCAAAGATTTAAGATTCTTCTTCTCTATTTCAGAATCTTCAATGACCTTGAGCTCACCAGAGTTATCACCCGATGATTTTTTACTCTCTTCACTTTGATTTTCTGAAAACTCTTCCAAAATATCCACTCGTTCTTCTCTTATACTGTCTCTAAAAAGCTCGGCTAGTTTCTTCCTCCGCGGTGCTGGAGGAAGCAAAAATGATACGCGAGGCTTCTCTTCTTCAAACAAAGGGTTGTGAAAACGAGGATGCTTATCTGAGAAACTACATTTTGGAGTATTTCCACGTGATGGAGTGAACTCTGCACAATCAACAACTCAATCTTGAGTTTACATAAACGAAAGTTTATCACACTTTCTGTTACACGATTATTATTTTTGTCAAAAAGTTTATAGAAAATTGATTACACAGATCTTGAATGTTAGTTGTTTTGGCATTTTAAGTTTCAAATGAATAACCAGAAAAGAAAGGAAAAAAATAAACATTTTCTTGTGTCCTTGTAAAACGAAACTAACTTTTGGAAGTATTATTAGATTTTACATTTTCAGTAGTTTTCATTAGAGAGATCATTGAGATATTGCCTTAGTCATTTACAAACGACATTCTCGTATGAATTAAAACATAACTATAGTTTTATTGTGGAATGGAGATTAATATTATTTAACAGTTTAGGAGGTGTTAGTGCAACATACCTCCATTGACACTATAGAAATCATCTTCTGAATCTGATTGTAGCCATTGATGTGAATCAAAGAAGGTTTCATCTCTACTACTTCCTGTTTCATTAAAACAATTTACACATTTCATCAAGACTTCAGTTGAAAAAATTAAAGCAACCATTCAAGTGAAAGAAAACACTCTTTAGAGCTCTCACCTTGAGACACAAATCTTACATCACAAAAACTTCTCCAATTTCTCGAACAAACAAAATGGAATATGTCGATACCCATCAAATTACTAATTGGAAACAATGACACACTCAGATTATGTATATAACAAAAAACGAACGAAAAAACAAATATTCAACGTTTTTGAGAATTTGAAAATCACTATTTAAGCAGCCATTAGAGGAAGAAATTTCTCTCTTTTGACGGAAGCATAAGCCAATGATTGGGAAAATCCATTAATGAAGAACATAATCTGATCATGATTCTAAAACTAAACAAATTTTCTGGACAAAAAAAACTATTAATGGAAACAAAATTCCTTAAAGGCTAATTTTTCGAAATTTATGATATTGTCTTACTAGAAACAGCTCAACTACGATATTTTCATACTATTAATTAACCGTGTCAAATTAATACTATTAATTAAAAGAGGCAAGAGATAATTTAATAATTATCAGAGAAAAACAAAAAAACTGTTCGGTATTAATCAGATCAAACACGATCAAACTAAGTATATATTTGAAAGGAAATTAGAAAACAAGTACCGAAGCTTCTCTTGGAAGAGGAAAACGACCAACGAGATTTCACTTGAGCTACACCTTTATCTGCCCCCGTCGTTGGAGTAGCCGCCGGAGCCAAATTATCCTTTATCGGCGATTCTGATCAATACATACGTTTTATACGAAATCGTGTATATAGACATATTATAAATACACATAGTTGAACCAAAGAAAAAACATACATTTTTGCTTACATTCTCGGATGAATAATCCCCACTAATTATTTTGTTTTCTTAAATCATGGAGTATTAAACCAAAATTCAAACTAATCTACCAAACCTATGAAACCTGATTTTTTTGGCCAATTAATCAACCATGACTAAAAAAGAAAACCTCACATTTCTTATATAATCCGAGTTTGCATGGATGAATTCTTAAAATATCAAAAATAATAACAATACTATTTTTTTTTCTTTTTTGCTAAATGGTTTACTCCTAAAAAATAAAAATTAAAAAAAATCTTTGAAAATAAGAGATTCATCAGATAGAGAGAATTACTATACCGGAGATTCTCTTAGTAGAGGGAGACGTATGACTAGGTTTCTCCGCAACATTACCGTTCTCCTCCTCCGTCTCCGGCGAATAAACCACCAAAATTGAGTTATTATCTTCCCTAGAAGATTCGGCGTTTACCATAGTTGGCGTTTTCACGAGCTTCTTCGATGGACCTTTCGACTAAGAACGCAAATACTTTACAAAAGATTTGATATTTGCGAGTTGATGTTTGATATGTATTGCTTTGCACGCCGTCGGAAAATTTGGCCGGCCGATTATTCTAACTTTTGGACAGGCATTATGGGTCCCACGACACACGAACACTCGAACTCCTCTTGGGGACGATGTCGTTTTATTTCACTTCACGTTATATTGATCGTGCCCCATTGGAATGACATGGCAGTTATATACGATAAACACTAAAAACGTTGGCTATTAATATTATGTATCTTTTAATGAAATTTTGACTGTGTGGTAAGACTTTTCCTGATTATTAGTTTGTTTATTTTGATTTTTATTCTGATGGGGATTTTTTTTTTCTTTTAACATGCGTTTCTTCTTTCCATTTTCACAAGAGAACAGCTATGAAAAAAAATATTTAAAAAATAAACACAACGAACGTGACGAATAATCATCTTCTATTTTAGTAGCTTTGTTTAGTGCACTTTCAGTAGCCAAAAATTTGTTGGACAAAAGTAGCAAGACTATAAACATATGGCCACATAGTGCAAGACGTGGCAATGAAGACTAAACCGAACTCTCTTCTTTTTTTGTCTGTATTAAAAACATTATTGCTAAATTTGAAGATCAATTCTACTTTCTCTATGCACGTGTCCAAAGTAACAAGAAGAAACCAGCAAAACTAAACAAGAAAGCAACATATATGGTGTTTCCAACTGTGACTTTTGTTAGCAGTTTTAAAGCAAAACCTCACCAAACTCTCCATGCATTGCTTGTTTTTGATCAACACCTAACTAGAAATTTCGTCGAAACAAAGCGAAAACAAAATCAATCATGCATGTTGTATATATGATTTGAGAGAAGCCTGTGATCGTAAAATCAGCAAAAATTGTTCCCTTCAATTTCACTGAGCTGTTTAAACAAAACACACACACTCGATCTAAAATGTTCTTTGTATTAAAGATTTACTCCATCCCCTAGAAAAATCTAACGGGACTCTACAAGGCAGGAGGATTCTTCTCTCGTGCAATACGGCCATAAAGGCGAGAGCTCGACAACTTTCCCAATGATGATGAGCGTTGGTGATACCAATCCAGCTGACTGAATCTCACTTGCAAAATCTTCAAGCTCAGCAAAAACCTGCATCATCATCATCATCCCAAAACAATAAACCTCTTCAAAAACTCCAACGTAAAACATCACAAAGAGTATATGGTTAAGGCAACGCTTACGGTTCGCTGTAGAGGAGTGGTTCCACGTTCGACAGCAACAGCTGGTGTATCACAAGGTAGACCGTGGTCCATCAGTTTTTGTGCAAGAGAAGGTAAGGTTCCTAAACCCATGTAAACAACAAGTGTTGTATCAGGGTCAGCTGCATTCTCTGCAACGAACAGAGGGTCGGTCCCTCCTTTCCTAGAGTGACCCGTGAGGAACCTCACACTGGTTGCAACGCCTCGATGTGTTAATGGAATCCCTAACTCTGCTGCTATCCCTGACGCTGCAGTAATCCCTGCAGAGTCAATTCATAAGAGTTTTAGAGGTCTATTCAAAGAAACCTTATTGAACCAGTTCATTAGAGTTCCAATAAAAAGCAACTCTAATCAAAAACCAGTTGCTTAGAGTATAAGAACAAACATTACCTGGGATGACTTGAACTCGGATCCCTTGCTGTTGCAGAAAGTCCATTTCTTCCCCGCCTCGTCCAAAAACCTGAAACATCGAACCAGAGAGTTGCCAAAAACATATTATACAAAGGAGCCAAAAGAAGAAAGCTACCAGAGAGTATATCAGAAGAAGCAGGACAAAAAAAGAAGCTTACCAAAGGATCTCCACCTTTAAGCCTCACAACAGTAGCTCCAGCTTCAGCAAAGCTTAGGAGTAGCTCATGTATCTCTTCCTGTAACAACAACAACAACATCAAAAAGGGCTTATTGCTCCAATCCCATCAATTTCAAATTCAGACAGGAGCTGTACTGATCACCAAGCTAAGCAATCAAAAGGGCTTATTGCTCTAATCCCATCAATTCAATTTCAAGAACTTCAAATCATAAACAATCTGGCTAAGCAATCTAAACACTAACAAGGGCCAATTTTGGGTGTCTGTGTACCTGAGTCCTGCTATGATAACCAGCAGTTTTGCCGACATAAAGGAGCCTAGCATCAGGAGCAACCAGCTCCAAGACATCATTGGAGACAAGCCTATCGTAAAGCAAAAGATCGGCGCTTTGGATGACCCTGACGGCTTTAAGAGTCAACAGCTCAGGATCTCCAGGTCCTGTCCCAACTAGATACACATCACCTGGTCCACAATCACCGCCTCTGCATCCTTTCTCCCTCTTCTCTCTCAGCACCTCCAAGAGCTTCTTCAGCTCCGGAAGCTGAGACGCGATGTCGTTTTCTCTAACGAAGACTTCATCTTCTTGATCCGACGATGGAGATGGCGTCGAGGCCTTGTAAAGCCATTGGTCCCTCTGGTATCTCTCAACGGAATGCTTCTCTGTGAAGGGCGAAGAAGAAGTAGAAGAAGAAGCAGAAGTTTGTGTTTTGTAATGGAGAGAGCAAACAGGGGTCAGTTTTGTCGAATTGGTCTTCCTCCAATTTCGAAAATTGGATGAGAAATTCGGAATCCGCTGGACAAGAGCCATTCAAAACAACAACAACAACAACAACACGCGCCTGCACAAGATTCAGATGCAACACAGAGAATGTGTAAGAAGAAGGAAGCGAGCGTTGACACCAACTTGGAGGGTTTTTGCACATATGCGTTAAAAGGAGACATTTTTATAATCGGATTGATTTGTTGCTTTTTTCCGAGGACGAAAGGGCACTCAACAATAAAGGTTACTAACCCTTTGATGCGTTCAAGGGGACTTGTGTCTCTCTGTCTACTCTCTCGGAGCTCAAGCCGAGGGCAAATTCGTAATTCTTTCGGTCGCCATCTCGGACCCATAACATATATTTTGTTCTTTACTAAATAAAACCTCAGTTTTCAAAATTGCTTTTGCTTCCGCGAATCAATTATCAAACTTTTCACAGAGCAGAACCAAAGGCATGGATTTTAAACAGATCAACGAAATAATTAAAGGGTTAATACCTGTGAGGGTAAGAATCTCCGGCACGGTGGATACGGAGGAATCGAGCTGATCTCGGAAGAGAAGAGAGAGAGACAGATTTGAGCTTCAGAACGCGAGAGAGCTTTTGGGCCCTTTATTGGGCCTTTCAGCAAAGCCCAACATGAGATCCCGACAGTGTCACGTCGGATAAAAGGTCACCACCCCTAAATGCCACGTAAGCTTAGACCAGACACGTGGTATACAAATGACCTAGCAGCAGTAGAAAACGTTTTTACCACCGCTATGTTTTTGAATCATTGAAATTTGAAAAATGCCAGCTCACCGATTTGATCAACTCGTAGTTATCTTCCTATTTACTTCTTTTTATTCCGAATATTTACTTCTTTTTCTGTAAAAAAAATATTACTGTTAATATAATAATATTTTCCATATCACAATCATAAAAAAATTTGGGAAAGGAAAAGGAAGGAAAGATTTATATAAATAGAATTGCATAATTAAGAAGGTTTGATTTTTTGTCACCACCTAATTAAGAAGCTTCAAAACTACCCATATATGACTTTATCACAGACCTAAATCAACGTTTTCAATTTCCTATAATAATTTCTCAATATTTTCTTACTAAAGTTTACGCTTGGAAAAACGAATTAATCATAAAAAACAGATTAAGCGTGACTTAACAATAAAATTAAAGAATACAAATTATAAAAAGTTTTCTCGGGTTTTTAAGAAGCTTGTTCCGTACACCGCATGACCGTTTTTTATTTTTCTTTTCCCATTTCTCCTCCATTTTCTTCTTTTATTTTTCTTTATTCAATTTTCTTCTCTCCCTCGCTTCAGTATCTGCGAAGCTTTTGCTCTCTACTCTTTAAACATTAACACTAAAATCCCAGAATCTGAGAGTGAGAAAAGTGGTCAAAGACCAAAATGTTTTACTCGCAATGTCTCGTGTCGGGAAAAGGACCTTTAGGAGCCATTTGGGTCGCTGCGTATTTCTTCAAGAAGCTTAAGAAAGCTCAAGTCAAAGACACTCATATTCCTTCTTCCGTTGGTTCGTCTCCTATCTTAATTCTTCACATTGTTCCTTGTTTTACTCTTCGTTCTAAAGAAAATGTTTTTCGCCGGCGATTTTAATGTTTTAGACTTGGAAAAAAAAAATTGATTGAATGTGTGAAAGTCTGCAACTTTAGTGTAAAATTACCCGAAATCGGGTTTTGTGTTTCTTATTGTAATTGCAGGATAGATTCCTTCTCTCATTCGTTGGAAGATTAACTTTGTTTCTTCTTTGATCTCTTTTTATCTTTTGCATCTATTGGCAGATTAATTCGAGGTCACTGTTGATTTTTGGGATTTTTTTCTATGTTGGTTGTTTATGCTCATTAGCTGTTTGACGAAATGCCTGAATGAATCTTAAATGAGATTTTTTTTCAGGGATATTCATATAACAGATGCTTTTAGAGCTGAAAAGTTTCACAAATTTTCTATTGTAAATTGATGGATTGTTTTTTTATTTATAGTAAAGAATAAAGTCGACTGTTTTGGTGGAAGAGTGACAATAACAGAATCTGTAAAAAAAAACACTCCTTTTCTCATTGGCTTGAGCATCTGAACTTGAGTATCTCTTTAGAACAGAAACTTGTTTACTTTTTACTCAGCATTTAGTTCGCTTGATTTCTACAGTCCTTGTTTCTACAACAATTGACATTTTGAGAATTTTCTTACCTTATGTTCCTTATTTTCTTTTGGATACACAGACCAGATCTTGCAAAAAGAGTTGGACGCCTTGACATACAGGGTTTTAGCGTATCTTCTGCTGGGTGTTGTTAGAATATATTCCAAGAAGGTGGACTTTTTGTTCGACGATTGCAACAAAGCGTTGATCGGTGTAAAGGAGTTTGTGGCTAAGGAGAAGAACAGAGAAAACACAAATGTACCATTGCCTGGATCTACGGGCTTTTTATCCATTGATTTGCCTGAGTGTTTCGAACTAGATGCTTTTGATCTTGGGGTTTTGGATGATTTTCACGGGTATGCTTGTTAATCTTGTATAAAATGTATTTCGCAGAGATCTTATATATAGTCTCACTTTTTGTTTCTTCTTCGCAGGGGTAATGTTAAGCCGCAGGAAGATATTACACTGAAAGGTAAATCTCTACTAAAATCTTTTCAAGTTAATCTCGTCACTGTTAATGTGTTTATATCTCTCACTGAATTGCGATGAAACAGATGGAAGTCCAGAAGCAGAGACCATGGACCAGTACTGTATGGAAAGGGTATGGCTTCTCATCTGATATACTACCGAGTGTGTAACTTGAACGTGTATTGACATTATTGCATGAATCTATGTCTCTTTTATCACTTGTTTTATTCTGGTATTCTATGGAAATATAGTATATATGTATTGAAGACATTATTTTGTGGTGTTGCAGTTCGACATGGAGGAGGACCTCATGGTTACCTTTCATGAAACATTCTTATCTGATCACAATGAAACCAATCAGTGAGTATGATACTTTTTTTTTATCTCGATTTACATGTATTTGACAGGCATAAGCCCAACATTCTGTGTTTAAAATTGTTGTTGCAGTGAGAGATCCGCTCATGATTCAGAAAATGTCAGAGATACTACTGAAGAAGCATCAATCAGAGTCGTTGAAGCGGAACCAATGGATTCTAACGAGCCATCCATAGATCATCAAAGTGCATCTTGGCATAGGGAGGATCCAGAATCAGATGATATGGTTGTGGAACCTCAAGTTTCTGAAGGTATCAGAAGAGCTCAAGAAAAAGAAACAGTTAGAGAAACCATATGTACCATTGTGCAGAGAGTAGAGGATCCTCATGGATCCGCAGACGATAATCTACATAGAGACGGGCACAGAGAGAATTCAGAATCAGAGAAAACCTCGGTGGAAACAAGTCTGGAAAAGATGCGGCATGACGGGTTCCTACCATCTGAATGCAAAAGTCCTGAAACGATTCAAGGGATTGAGGAACAACCTTCTGGTGCCACAAGAATTGATGGGGAGAAGGAGATCCCCGAGATGAGCACTTTAGAAGAACCAGAACCAGGATCTATGAGTGAAATTAGAGACTTGCCTGATGGCATAGAGAAACATCGAGGCCATAGTGATGGGGAAATGACGGACTTTGAGATGTTTCATGGGTCTCATAAGGAGCCATATGAGACTCCTGAATTGAACACAGTTGGAAACAATGGTACCGAGAAAGATTTTCTCCTTGACATGAATTCTTCAGAAGAGGGGAGTAAAGGGTTTACTGCTAAAGATACGCCAGTTCCTGTTACTCCCAAAGCACCTTCGCGGCTAAGAATCTCTGAAGGTACACACTTTTTAGAAATAAGAGCTTTAGAAAATTTACTTAGTTGTGTTTGTAATGTGTTATCTTATACTTTGAAATACAGGGGAAACAAGCCATCAGTTCTCGATCATTCCTACTCCGGCTGCAAAGGAGTCTGCTCGGGTTTCACGGAAGAGAAAATGTGTAATAGATGACGAAGTGATAATTCCGAACAAGTAAGAAAACTTTTTTGTTAACCTTGGATTTATTCATCTGTAGAGTTCCATACAAATGTGTAATATTTTGGTGCTTCTCTGTTATTGTAGAGTTATGAAGAAAATGATAGAGGACCCAAGTACATTGGTCTCCAAACGGAGAAAGGTTCCTCATACTGACTATCCTGAGAGAAGAATCAAACGTCTTGCCGATCCCTCAAGAAGTGTCTGGGACCCTTTGATTCCATGTAAGTGAAACTTCAGAATTCGCTGCATTTCAGATTGTATTGTTGTGTTTGCTGACTGTTGTAATCCTATCGCAGATGGTTCTTCGGACTTCCTGTCACTTTTTGGTCAACCCATAAAGCTCAAAAAACAGGACACCACAGAAACTCCTAAGGGTACTAAAACCGCAAGGCGAATGGAAAATTCTTCTCGTGGAACAGTTGGAAGTCATGGGGATGTTTTTTCTTCAGAGCAGGCCGATCATGTTCGAGAAATTATGGAGACTCCTCAGGCTGCTGCTCTTGCTGAGCTGAAAGTTATTATTCCAGAGACTGTTGGAAATAATAAAGAGGTTTCAGCTGAGACGGGAGCTAGTTCCATAGCTGCTAGTATTGCTCACCAAACAGAGATTGCCCTAGAGACGCCAGTGAAGCCTGTGGAGCCAGTAGAGATTGCTCCGGAAACACCAGCGAGGACATCAGAGCAAACAGAGATTGCTCCAGAAACACCAGTAGTCTCTGAGCGAGTAGAGATTGCTCCTGAAACGCCAGTGAGGGAATCAATGTCGATAAGATATTTCAAGGACCCTGAAACCTGTGAACAAGAAAGGAGACCTGCAAGTTCCTTCACCTCCTTTGACGGGCAACCATCAGAATTTCGCGAGGATAGAAGGGACCTTGATGCAATTTTGATGAACGAGGAGGTGCTGCTCAATTGCATCTTCTGACAGTAGCAAAAGAAAGTTTTTTGAATAATACTTTTAGTCGCATCTAATTGCAGAACTGAGCATTTGTTTTCGTTTCTGCTTCAGCAGGTGAATACACATGCAACAGAGGACTTGCAACAAGGTAAAATGCTTTCTGATCTTGTTCTAAGATTCGAGAGCACCCAATATCTTGAAACCATAATTCAGAAATGATCTCATGCCAGTGCCCAGTTTTTGGTTGAAATCTATGAAGAAAATAGGACATTTGGATTGGTGCTCTTGAAAGTATATGTAGCTTTTAGTGAAAAGTTTCAACCATCAAAATGTAGACTACTTATTTTGGGATCCAAATCTTTTTATCGAAATGTTGTTTGTTGCATGTCGGTATGTTCATCGTGCTGTGTTCTTACCATTGTATGTTTTTTATTTGCAGAGACATGGTCAGTAAGAACAAGGTTGGTAGTCCCAAGCCTTTGATCTCAACTTCTCCTTTTGGCTTATATTCAGATAATGATCCGGACTTTCTGACTCTGGAATGTGCAGGAACGTGGCGAAATTCTTGGAAAAGACGTTTCTGGAGCAGAGGGAAAAAGAAAAAGAAGAAAAGCTTAGTTTGTTGGAGCTGTGCAGAGGAAGAACTCAGAAGGAAAGCGCAAGACTCTTCTACGAGACTTTGGTATGTCACATCTGGTTTCTCGGTCCAGTTTATTATCTTTAGGTTTTTCAAGTTTTGGAAAATGGTTCTGAATTAGAAAAACACACTGAATTTATTTGATATGGGTAATAAAAAAACTTGTCTGGTTGCAGGTGTTGAAGACGAAAGGTTACTTGGAAGTGAAGCAAGATCATCCATATAGTGATATCCTTCTCACGCGATTCACCAGACAACAAGAAGCTTGTTGAGAAGCTCTAGCTAGATTTCTTCTCTCCAGTTTTAGGTTTTCTTAAGAAGTATCTGTGAATCAAAGTTTGTTGTCTCTTAGGATCCAAGGAATCTAACCCCTTTGCTTAGTTCTTTTAAGTTGAGTCTTTAGTAAGAATGATCAATGATCTGAAAATATAAATGAATAGAGTTTGGTTAATCTTATCAAGTTTCTAGAGACAATGTAGCTTCTGTAACCATTCTAGAGACAATGTAGCTTAGTCGATCATCAAACGTCTGAAAGCAAGAAGAATGTTTAAGCAGAACAACACGCTTAAAAAAACCACACAATAGATCGTTCGTAGAGATATCCACAGGAACTACCAAACCAAAATCAAAGATCAAGTAAAACCTTCCCAACCAGAGAAGCTCCCTTGAATTTCTCCAAAACCTCATAAGAATCAGCTGAGCTGTCAGGTTTTGGCACCACCTTTTTGGCTTTAGGATTGGCTTTCTTGGCATCAGCATTGGCTAAGTTGGCCCTTGAGCTTACCAGTGGGAAGGGATGACAACCGAGACTCAGCAACCACGTACACTTTCCCATTGTTCTTGTTACGAACCTTCAAATAGACAAACTTTGCATTGACACACAAAGCAAGATTGCTTGGAAGAGTCCATGGAGTAGTAGTCCATGCCACAAAAGCAGCATTATCTTGATCGCCAATAACTGGGAATGTCATCATGATTTCTGGATCTGGAGCGTCCTTGTAGCTCTGACCCGCTTCGAAATTAGATAGAAGGCATAACCTTGAAGCCTCTGTAGATGAGATTCTTGTCAAAAAGCTGAGCAAAAACCCACCAAACGCTTTCCATAAACGTCAGATCCATCGTCTTGTAGTCATTAGTGCAGTCAATCCAGCGACCAGTCCTAGTAATAACCTTCTCCCACCCCTCATCATATCGCGTCACAATACTCCTACACTCCTTGTTATACTTATCAATGCCCATCTCAAGCATTTGTTCTCTCTTCTTAATATTCAGCTTCATGCACATCCCACTTGGAGGTCCGGGCTGCTTATCCTTAGATTTCAACTACAATACAAAATAAATAAATAAAGTGGAATTAGAATAACAAAACAAAGAGCAAGACATGGAATACAATAAGATTGTGTAACCACTAACCATAAACTTCAGGTTTTTTTCTTTTTTTTCTTGGTATCCTCTATGAATTTTGCGTTTGGTGTCATGTCCATGTCGATGGAAAAGAATTCAGAAAGGAGATATTGAGGTTCTGCAAGACATGAATAAGCTGCATGCTTCATTCTTGTGGCTGCAACCTCTATAAGCATGACATAACTAGATACATACATGTATCCACGGTTGCAGTTGTGAGTGTCATGCATGCTCTTGCACTTAATCACCCTCTTTCCCTCATAATCTATGCACGAAAGCATTAACACCTGGTGAGCACCTTGATATGCAGCACCACGTTTAGGGTCATAGTAAATCTCTTCATCATCCCAGCCTTCAAAACAACACAAAGTGGCAGCAACTGGATGAGTTTGTAGTCTTCCAAAGCTTCCTGCAAGGTGTTATACCTGAAAACACCCTTAATTGTATGCATTCTCTCATTGGGAGGAGCTTGCTTCACATGCTAAATTGTAGTTCAAATGGGATAACAGTTCCCTATCTGTAGCTTTGGGTAGACCATTTTGCAGAACAAAATCCACTACAGTTCTGAAGTCGTACTCGTAACAGCTATGAACCGCCTCATCCTCTAAGTTGTCACCACTTTTGACGTACTCTCCATAGTGCTCTTTATTGATCTTTTTGCACAAATATAATGTGCTGAGCGGCTTATATTCCTCTAAAAATCTATGCATGGTAATGAAAAAACTTTTAATTGTAAGGTATATATATTCGTTTTTCTCCATGTTGATAATAGCTAGAGCTCATATAAAAAAGGCCAGCCAATTGAATCGTGTCATATTAAACTCTAATACTTTCTGAGTAATGTACTATTTTTGTGCAGTACCATATATCATACTCAAATTAGGTTATGGACATTCTCTCTTTTCATATGCAATATTATGTGTGATTTGATTGATTTATAAAAATTTATTGTTTGAACTTTAATTAATTTTTTTTATGGGTTTCTAGTTGAGTTGAATGCATATTTTATTTCCTTTTTTATCTGTTTTATTTCACTAAAAAAATATGAATATATAATTTAGTATTGAAAAAGATATCCAAAATATGTCTGATCAAAAACAAGATGGAAAACTTTGAGTTATTATAGATTTTTTAGAATTTTTATTGTGAAAGGGATATATCGTATCTCATATCATTTTACTTGTACATACATCCCAAAATAGACAAACATATGTGTGTGTATACAGTAGCTTTGATAACTCAACTCAATTTAGGAATTTGGATAATCTAAAAAAAACTGACTTAATCAGTAAAAAGATTAATAAATCAGTTAAGACCGTTTTTTTTTTTATGAAAACACCTCCTATTTTCTTGCTATTGTTCCTATTTTTGAATATAAATTCGGGAATAGGATATTCCAATCATTTGTCTAGCTCAAATTTGGAACTTGGGTTTGTATTAGAAGTTTTGCTTTAAAGGTTTTTGTCTACAATCCATGTTTATAAAATACCGTTATTAGCAAAAATCAAGACACAAATACGATGACCATCTTTCGACCCAAAAAAAAAAAAAAATACGATGACCATCCTCTTTCCTTATACTATGGTGAGAAGAATGTGAATTATCATATTGATGTGGGATATGCGAGAGGAAATAAATTCAAAGAATTGATTCTACAAATGCAGTGAGTGTGGCTCCACTCTTCATACTAAATACGTATTTAACAATCATATACACCCAAATTTGTTCATGAAATCATATACGCCGGCAGTCCACTCTTTATATCATATACACCCAAATTAAAATGCAATGAACAAATTAAAGTTGCTTAAGGCTTATAATTTTTGATAGTTATAGTATGCTATAAATTTTGAGAGGAATCATTTTGCATACAGTATCGGGTATACCACACAGTCTAGATTTTTTGAATTTTCTGATTTACACATACATATATATATATATATATATATATATATATTGTTTCCCAATGTATACGTAATTATTGGTTTGGCACAACCTTTTAAAGTCAATAATTTTCTGTGAATCTAATACAATAGTGAAGATGCAAGTAGTGTTAAAACTTAAAAGAGACCAGCTGATGTATCAGCAGACGATACATTGGGTAAAAGGAGCTGTCTCGTCTAATGTAAAAGCAGCTGAGGTGTCAGAACCTACTAGTTATATATCGTTCAAAAAGAGAGAAAAATTATTTTTAAGAAAATATTCTCAGAAATATTCGTTAGTTATATATCGCTCACTTATCACTAGCATCATACGCAATAATTACGCATCATGATGTTTATCTAATATTAATAAAATCTCAAAAAAAATAATACAGATTTCTCAGCTACTATGAATTTTTAATTAATTTTTAAAGATATATATATAACAACAAAAAAAGTTATATTATAAAAATTATTTCTATAAAAAAAAAATTCTCTCTCTCACGATTTATAAAAAGCTATAAAAATTAAAATATATTAATATCACCGTTCAGCAATATTGGACGATCATAACATCAAAGGTTTTTGTTATCAATTTGCTGTTTTAGATCTGTTTTTAATGACCGAAATCATGATCTTCATGGTGTTTTTCATCAGAAGCCATCTAGATCACAGTTATCGTACTTTTTAGACTACGAACAATGACACATAAAGCATATAATATATGATTATATTTATATGTTCGAATGAAAATTTAAAAATGAGAAAAAAATAATGTGTAATTGTTCTTATTTACACGTAAAATTTATTTTAATCAATTTTAAAAAAAAATTCATTGACAACAATGTAATGCTCGATTTGGTTTAAACCTGTAAACATATGTTAAAAAAATATTTTTACTTTTGAACATTGATCAACATAGCTAAAAAGCTGAAGCTACAAGCATTAGATTTTGGAATTTCGACGCAAAAATCCAAGCTAATCGTGCGTCTAACATTTGTTATAGAATTTAACATGAATCTGTGACGTGTATTTACTTAATTCTCGGTTTTAACAATTACTCCTAATTTAAGCACATACACACACAAAGAAACAATTACCCCTGAAATTCCCAATATTGTATTTTGTTGGAAATTTGACAATTACGTATATATGGTGTTTTTTTGTTAAAGCAGAGAACATCAATCTTCAAATGTATAGTTTTTAAATTTTAAAATTGACCATCAAATTATCCGAGTACTATTTAAACCGAGTTGAATTTGTTTTCTTTTTTTTTTTAAAAAATTGCAGTACAGAGTGGGAATCGACCCAGGACAATCAACTTGACGATTCAAAAGCACCAAATAACTTAGTCGATCCTCAAACGTCTGAAAGCAAGAAAAATGTTAACAAAACTTGCAAAATCATATATGTAAAGTCGGCCTTGAAAATATATGGATCGCAATAAACAAAATTTTAAAGGTCTGTGATCTGATTAATTTTGTGGCTTTTATTATCTAGATCGAAGTTCGTCAATTTTGGATATCCGAATTTTCAAAATAGATCAGAAAGGATCACATCTCGAATCTCGGATATATTGCCAGTCTAAAATTAACAATAAAACAACATATTTTTTTATGTGAGACAAACCAGAATGATGAACTGAGATCGGTTTATCATGTGTGAGACAAAACAATAAATAAAACGGAGAAAATAATATAATCTCAAAATCATGTGTGATGAGATTTGGAAAAAAAGCTTTCTTTTTACTTGTTCTTCCCTCATTATAGAAGAATCTCTAAACGATAAATAAAAACGAAAAACAGACATTTCCCTTCAAATATTTCGAAACAAAAAAAAGTGGGATTTTACCATTTTTACCCCCTTTCAAGATTATGCTTATTACCCTCGAGAAAAATAAATCTGCTCTTCTCGGGTCTTAGTTCACAACATCAAGAACAAGCTTACGAGATTTAAGAACTGACCATTTCAGTCTCCGATAATATGCAGCTTGCAGCAGAGCCAAAGACAGTAAAAAGATCCACTTGAAACCCATCTGCACACACAAAATGAACACAAAAAAGATCATCTAAGTTCATGTCTGATAATAGTAGACTCAAAGAAAAAAAATGTAATCATATCAAACAAAGAAACAGTTACCAATTTCCTCTCTTCCATTTCTGGTTCAGCTGCCCAGGACAAGAATGATACAACATCTTTACCCATCTACACCACCAGTGGAAAAACAAAAGCAAAGTTAAAAACTATGTGTTAACTCCATGAGAGATGAGCTCTGATATGGCTCTACAGTCTCTGCAATTAACTTCTTAAGCTAACCTGTGCTTCTGTAGCGATGGTTCCATCTTCATATTCCACAGCTTCATCATTGAGCATCTTTGGCATAGCGATTGCTCCACCAGGGAAATAAGGATTGTAGTGTAACCCTTCTCTGATCTGTGCCATTATCACAAGACTATTTTCAACACCCAACACTTGGAAGTTGTAATAAGACGAGTACTGCGAAAACAGGAGAGACAATAGAGATTTACCGAAATTCCAGCAGGAGGATCACGGTAACCAGTCAAAAGAGCAAAGACATAATTTTGGCCATTGTGACGTGCCTGGCAGAACATATAGCAGAGATGTTTAGATCACAGAAGATGGATTCTCTAAATTGAGTGAAAGAAGAACGGACCTTCGTTATAAGACTTAGATCAGGTGGATACGCTCCTCCATTGGCGAACCTCGCAGCTGATTCATTTGAGTATGGTTGAGGAAGCCGGTCACTGAGTTTACCAGGTCGTGTGAACATCTCACCTTCGTCGTTTGGTCCATCAACAACCTCGATTTCAGCTGCCATTGCCTTTGCCTCTTCCTCTGTGTAAGCAACACCCACCAAGTCTCGGTATGAGATGAGAGACATTGAGTGGCAAGATGCACAGACTTGCTGATAAACTTGGTGACCACGACGGATTCTGCTCATTCATTAAATCAACCACAAATAATTAATCTCGAATTCGCCAAATGTTACTATATAACAGTCCCTAATTTGTCAATTTTTCTCCTACAACTATACTGGTTGACAGGTCGAAAATCGACTTATAAAAGAAGAACATCTGTGACAATAAGGCAGCCCCTAGTTTCTGTCAATACTTCTCCTAAAGTGTTACACTACAACTATACTGACAGGTCGAAACTCGACTTATAAGTTATAAAGAAGAACATCTGTGACAAAAGTGTAGTATGAAAACTCACGAAGCATGGTCATATGAGCTGAGAATGCCATCATGTGGCCAAGGGTAGTTTGGACACTCTAAGCCGTGTTCGGCTTCATCAGCGGAAGCTACTGTAGAAAAACTCAATAATCCTGTAATACCAGCACCCATCAAGGCAAATGCTTTTACACCAGCAGACGCAGCATCCTCATTAGCTTTCTTCGAAGAAAACAATGACAAGACCGGAGTTGCCTGTGTAGATAACACATAACAACAGTAAGAAAACTCAAAAAAAAAAATGGCAAGAAACAAGTAGTTGTATGGTTAACAAATGCACAATCAAAAGATTGCCACAAATCAAATCGAAGATGACTTATACTCTCTAATTAGAAATCAAAATGTCTGCGTCAAGAAAAAACTCTTTTTTTCCACCAACAATTAGTCTTTATTCTTCCCAAAGACTAAAACCTCCCAATCTTATATCCCAAAATGTCATACGCCAAGGAAATTCTAGAAACAATTCTCTAACGTTAATCTCTCAGAGCATGAATCAGTAAACAAAAAACAACTAATAAAACATCCTAAGATTCTTCTCTTCAAAAAAGATCAGCACCTGAAATCCCAGATATATAGAGAGCAAAAACAAACGAAGCTAACAAAAAATCCAAATGTTGAGGGAGATCAAATCTCACCGTTGATTTGAATTGAATTTTCCTCCTCAGAAGCTGCTGGATAACTCCTCCTCCAACCATTTGATGAAAGCTTGTACCAATAAATTACCTGAATAAGAAAAGAAAAATAACAGAGACGAAACTTTTAAACAGCGTAATCAACAAATGATATACTGATGCAAAGACACATATACGAATATCCAAAAATGCCTGATAAGCCCCTCGAATTTCGATTCTACATACAGATCCCACGAATTTTATATCCAGCAAAGCAAAAAATGAAAGAAGACATCCAACGGTTCGGAGGCAAGATATAACGATCGGAAAAAGAGAAATATCTCACCGGAAAATGAAGTGACAGGATCGGCGATTGACGACTATCGAGAGATAGAGAGACAGATGCGAACACAGGAGGAAGACGAAGTAAACAGAGACCAGAGAAAATGGATTCCTCTCGATGACGCGACTGTGACACACGACACCTTTAGGCTTTTAAAGGCCCATGGGCCAAATATAATGTATTGTAGGCCTTAATAGAAATGACCGTAACAAAGGGACATTAGATTTATACCATTTTGCTAAGAGAGAAACACAAAACAAAAAATCTATAAGGAAAATATTTAATGAGGAATTTCCTTTTAGTTAAATGGGTAAATAGTTTGATACTTGTGGTCTTTTTTTTTACCGTCGTTCCATTTCATTACCCTTCATGAAGGGATTGAAAAAACAAATCCGATCAAATAACACAAGGGTTTATTTGCTAGATAGCCTAATTAAGTTTGGTTCAAAGATAGCATAAATACAGGTGGCGAAACCGAATTTAAAATAATTTTTTTGCGGGTGATTTTAACAAATAGTATGAATCATATGTATAACTATAAACTGCATGTCATCATATTTAGAAAACTTGTCATACTAAAAAAAAATAATAACATGTTATTAAAAATAGCTTCAGGAAGAATGCCTTTAGTCTAATGGTTAAATAGTTTTATCTTTGCAGTTTTTTTTACCGTAGTTCAATTTAACTTCCCTTCAAAAGATCGAAAGCGAAACCATAACTAAAAAAACAGGGTGAATCATGTATATATTGCATCATTATGTTACGAAAACTTGTCAAATTAAACAAATAACATGTTGAAAAATGGAGTATCAGTACAAAACTAACATGAAATTTAGAGAAATAAAACGCGCTATACTTTACGTCCTCCTTGAAAGTAGTTTGCTAATAATAAATAGATAAAACTCTTTGTTGTTTTGCCAAAATTGTGGGTGTAGTAAGCTCATTTAGTGGTATTGTCCAATATTTAAACACAAAGTAACCAAAACTCTAATAAAATTGAATTTGAAAATCTAATCGAGCTGATTTGATATGAAATATTAAAAAAAAAAGACTGTACAGTAAAACTTCTATGACTTATGTCTTTGTTTTTACTCAAAGAAGTTGAAATCCTATTGGTTTTCATCTCTCTAATTATTAAATTAGTAGCTTTGATTGTTGTTTTACTATATACATTCAAAATTTGTGATGATTTTTTGATGTGATAATTGATTTTCTTACTTGTAAATGTTTTTAAATGTATTGTAGTGTTATCTTCATCATCAATTATATTGATAGTAGCCATGTCTTCTTTATAAAATTTAAACTTATAAACATGTATATTTTTACATGGACAATCCAATATGGTGTTAAAAATTTATTTTATTGCGATAGTTATGATTGTTAATCATAATTTATATTATGAGATTTGTTGAATTTTAAAATATAATATTATTTCAAAAAAAAATTTAGAAAATTATCTGCGGAAAGCAAATTTTTTTTATAAATTAATATCACGATAAATTAATAAAATATCATGGTCCCAATATTATTAATTTATAGAGGTTTTACTGTATATGGTTAGAGCATGTTCATCAGGAGTTTATATGGAGTTGGCACAGTTTCATATGTAAAAACGATTAAAAAAAAAGCCTATTTTTTATGAACTCATCTCTTCCCAAAAAGTCTGAAGAGACCGACTCTATCCTACATAGAAGCATATAATTGGTTGAAAATCATGTTTTAATTTTTTCATTTTTAAATCCAAAAAATAATAATATTAAATTCTTATGAACTCCTCTTATAAAAATTTTAAAGGTTCACTTATGTACCTGGTCTTAAAGCCTAAAGGTCAATTAAACATTTACTCAAATCAAACTAACTGAACCCGAATCAAATCTGGAAAGGAGAAATTAACCAGCATAGTGATAAACTTATCGTTAGAAAAAAAAAACACCTATACTTATTACGATTTGGGTATACGTATGAAATGACCAACCATGAAAACGAAAAGAAACATACCTTATTGGCTTGTTGCTTTACCTTTACACTTCTATATAGAGGACACGCGTACATGTATCTCTATTAGATACGTCGAAACAGATAACTAGAAGAAAACAAGGAGTTAGAAAACTCAACTATTAACAACTGAAAAAATGGAAGAAAAAGAATTAGATATTATGTAACTAAGAAATTTCAAGCGTAGTCTTCTTCATGGCATCTTTTCTTGCGTAAATCCTCCTTTCCGATTTTTTTTTTTTTCATTATAGAAAGATTGAGCATTAATTTCCACTACTAACCAACCACACACTTGATTTCGTTTGTATCTTAGACATTTTTGATATTACTCTTTTTCCTTTTCGATATACTCCTGTATTGTCTCGTAAAAGAGTATACATAAACGCCAACTATTTGCTTGTAATAAATAAACAACAGTCATTTTGATTTGGATTTTATATCAAATGTGCAACAACGAAACAAAAGGAAACACATCTTATTGGACTTATTGTTTTACACTTCCACATACAGAGACACGTCTATAGTTGATAGATACATATATATATAGATAGCTGGTATACGTATATATTTCCAAATGTTCCCTGACATGACAGCTTTTTCGACTTTGAAATGGAGGACACTTCATGCAATGTGATTGGTGGGATGAGAAGGGACCATAAGAGTCTTGAAATATGGTAAAAACAACAGATGCTGTTTTAGCCTGATCGTAGGACCCATAACACCCATTTAAATCTCATAGTAATAAAGAGAATTAAAGCAATCAAATCCCATATCTCAGTTCCCATAATTATTGGGTACTTTGGATAACCATCCAATTAAATTATGTGAACCTATGTGCATGATTGTATGTGGAGAGATATAATAATATATAATATGCGTACTCACATAGCTTATAGTCTAATTAATGTTTCTGTGTGTCTGCTTCGAATTTAACATTAATCGATTTCGACCATACATATTTGTTTCTTTTATTGATAAAGTACGATACATATTTCTTTGTCTTCTTAATACGGAGAGCTTAATTAATGTATCTCGAATCTCAATACCCATTCATAGGATTCGAGTCCAAGATATTTTTTTGTAATTAAAGGTTAGTCCAAGATATTTTAGAAGATTTACAGGCATATTTTATATAAATAGTTGCTACCAAGTAATTTATCATGCCATTTATAGATAGAACAAACTAATAGCATGTCAAACCGAACCCTCTAGTGTCCGTACATTTTATATATTAAATAAACTGAAAACTAAAATAAACCAATGTTTGCTTAGAAATGTAACTAAGAGTATGTATTTAGTTTCAAGTTTACAACATTGTTTCAAGATTTTCTGGCTTCCTTACTAGATTTGACAACTCATGTATGTACTCATTCAAACTCACATAAATAAACATGTATTATTAACATATACACATACATATGAAGAGGAGGTAGATTAGAGCTGATATACTTGTAACTAAATAAATAAAAATTATGAGTTTGCTGTTATGCGTCGTGGGTTAGGGACTTAGGGTACTCCTCAAAACTCTTAGATTGTTAATTATAAGCCCTAAACGAGTCTAACTCATGAAAATGTTTTTAAAAAAACGAGTCTAACTTAATTACAGCTTAACGGGATTATTAATTAGTAGTAGGTCTTATAAAATTTTACTCTTAATTAATCTATATATAAAAAGTTTCTCGTCAGTCTAGACATAGCTAAATACATATGTACATAAATAACAAGTATTTGATATAATACGTTTTTACGATAAAAGTGTATATTGTTGTACACATGCATATCAGCCCATATATAGCGCACAAATATTTTTATTTGTCAAACTTATGAGCCAGCATATGACCTGTAATCGTTGGCTAAGCTTGCGTATCTTTAATTAATCCGTTGATATAAAGTCCCCTTTAGTGTATATATATATGTATATATACTACTTATGGCTAAACTTATTATATATATATATATATTTATATACATATGGACTAACAAATTTAAATCCTACTCTGAGGGACAGTCTTTTACTAGTTAAATCTTAAAAGACGCTTTATTAAAATAAAAGGCACGTCAACTCTAATCCTGAGATTTCAGTAAACTGTGTCACAAGTAATCGGTTAGAAACGTAAGATTTGGCTATAGATCGCTTAAAAAAAATAAAAACAAACAAATTTCGTGTTTTTTTTTTTTTGGCAAACTTATTGCTGATCTATCGGAAAATAAAAGTTAAAATAACAACAAAGAAACATAAAATTATAGTTTAACGCAAGAGATATGAGAAGCACATAACCAACCATAATATCCACTGATTCAAGTGTCTCATATGTTTTGCCCTAGACACGTGGCTTTATCCTATTCCCGAATGATAATCTCTTCGGCCACCGGAGAGACACAGAAAGAATATAGGGAAAGAGAGAGAGAGAGAGAGAGAGAGAGAGAGAGAGAGAGAGAGAGTGAAGAGCTAAAGAGGTGTGAGAAAGAGGAGAGAGAGAGAAATGAATCAAGATCATGAGTTATGGCGAACGCTACGATGCGCAAGTGATAAGGCGCAAGTTAAGAGCTCTGTTGATACTCTCATGCTAAAGTACCGTCCGATCGCTCCGAAGCCGACAACGACTGGTCAACCATTAATCGTCGGAGACACGAGCAAAAGAAGGACGAAGAGAAAGTACGTTAGGGTTTCTAACAACAATAAAGCCACGTGTCGATCAAAGAACGGGGTTAGATCTACCTCAACAGATCCGGAGAATGTCCGAGAAGATCTCGTGACGCTACAGCTCTTGCCTGAGAGATCTACGTCGTCGTTGAGATTGGATCATAATAATAATCTCGATCCAACGGTGGAAACAATCATCGGAGATGAAACCTGTAAAACCGCCACGTGGCTCAAGTTTCACGTCGGAGATGACGTTGTGCATCCTGCTCCGGTGGAGACGTGGGTTACGGTGGAATCCGTTAACGGTGGCTCCGTTTCCCATGCGTTAGGGTGTACAGACGAAGAGATAGTGGACGCTTTAGATAAAGACACGTGTCCTGGTTTCGTATCGGATGGTTCGAATCGTGTGGTGATGGTGAACGAGGCTTACCGGAGGACAGTAACCGGAGACGGTGGATTCGAAAAAGAGCCGTCGTGGTTGTTGCCGGAAGTGATTGTGTGGTTGGTGGTTGACCAAACGACGACGTTTTGTGAGTACCGAACTTTCACGTGTAAGGTGAGACTTGAGTACACGTGGAGAGAGACCAGGTATGTTAAAACGGTGCCGTGTGATGTGTGGAAGATGGAGTTTGGTGGATTTGCATGGAGGTTGGACACTAGTGCAGCTCTAACTCTTTGGCTTTGAGTTAGCTAGAGAATAGCGATGCTTAGAGAGGGTAAGATTAATTAAGATCAAGATCATGTGGTTAAGGTTCATATCACAATCTCAAACCTTAATCACTTTTTGGCACTTCGTTTAATTGGGAAATTATAATAAGTAATACAAATTAAAGAGAAAACGAATATTATATATGTATATAAAAATATATTACTGTGGGAAGATCTTGAGAATCAAGACTTTCGGAATAAATTGTGTGAGAACTATATATATAGGTTGAAAATTGCCATAATGTCAGATATCGATTGGCAATATGCTTTAAACAAAAAGATGTCAATGTTTGGCTTTTGTATTGATTCTTACTTATCTCTTTCATTTCGATCGTATAGTATAACTGATATCTATTTATATGTCCTTATATATTCATCATCATATAAATTGGCATGTCATAGGCTAAGATATCACCAGTAATTTTACCGATTATCATCAGAACATAATTTACAAACAATATAACCAAATCTTAATTTGCAATATAACCATATGGTGAACTTGGGACACACTATTATTGTGCTTGGTAATATATATATATATATATGGATTCATGCACCAGCCTACACATATTCGTATTTACAAATATGGATAAGTGACAGTGCATATATAAAGAGAAGAATCCGATGTGTGCGTGTGTTTTAAGTACAGTATTCTCGATATATATCATCTGGTCCTGGTAAACGTCTTTCAGTCTCTAATTTTCGGACAATCTTATCTCATGGTTATGACTTTTTAAGTTTCATAACTTTAAAGCAATTTAGTATAAGGTACACGCAAAATGTATACATACGAAATGTGAATAGTCACTCACACGTATACGTACATAAATATACATATAATGTATTTCACTAATCACTAGCTAGGTATAATGTGTATATATATACAAATGAGCATTTAATTATAGCAAATATTTGCTGTAGTAGTAAAGCTTATATATATTTTAAGAGCGTTTTTTTGCTAATATATTTCAAGACCGTTTGACCATTATACAACAATATATATTTTGTAGAATAATGTTATTTAGTGTTATTGGATAAAATAACATGGTTAAAGTACATATAATATTCATATTAATTAAAACTCAGCAAAAACGTTAACATAAATTAGTAGCATGCCATAAAAGTAAAAACACATGAGTTTTTGAGTATTTATTAGAAACAGAAACATGTGTTTTCAGCAAAATTCAGGGTACCGATTGAGGAAAATTATCACTAATCTACTTGAATTAAAGTATATATACTATATATAGGCATTTACGTAATTAACTCGCATGCTATCTACTTAACTAGACGTATATATACATGAGATGATGTTATAGATGTGTGTGTCGACATGCTATATATGCGCATGTTAGATATAGGCTATAGCCATTCCGCAGTGGCCAATAATAATGATCACATCACATCTCAAATAAATTTTCGTGGCTTTTGAATCTCAACATATGGAGAAATGCTTCATTGGCTGAGAGAAAAGTTATAAAAGAAACAAAATAATATAAAAAGCCAAAAAGAAAAAAAGATCGGCTATCGAAGGGAGGGAATAAATAAAGTGGTTATGGAACACTCAAACACGCACAAGGAAAGAAAAGTACACGTGGCATCTCGACCGAGAAAGACATCAACCAATCAGCTTTCACTTATTTTTTGTTTTTTCGCTTTCTGTTTAATTGTCGTTTTTCTTGATTATTGACGTCATGCCATACCTGAGATTGTTTTTCTCCTGGGTCCTACGTTTATTGATCTGAACCGTTGAAACGTCTGTGTGCGATGAATCTTACCGTACGTTGGTGTCACCTTCTTGTGACGCGGCTGGTGGAAATTCGTAACAGTGATGGAATTTGTGGTTGACGAGAAAACTAATAGGAGCCTATCACGTGTCTCTATTTCTCGAAACAACTAAAATCTAAAATATATTGACCACTAAAAGAATTACGTACAATACCAAAAACTCATATTTTTTTAAAGCAATATCACTGTAGTTTTTTCCTAAGGTATTCAATTTTTTTTTTTTAACAGCTAGGAGGCAAAACCGTATCTGAGATTTCTCTAACTACAAGCGAGAAAAAAAATTTGGTCTCTTAAAACTTTTTTTAATGTAGTTTAATCCACAAATAATTGGCAAAAGAAAGAAAAAATGATAAATATACGTTTGGAAATAATTAAATCCAGACAAACTTCTAACCAAACGTGTTTTCACATATTCACAAACCACTTGGACTAACTTAAATTTTGGAAAATTGACCCCAAAAAAATATTTAACTCTTATGGCTGCTTCATTGACCTGTGCTCAGACTCTACTAGAAAGTATTCAACTATTTATTATGAGTGTTCGGTCAGGTTATTCAGTTTTTTGGTACACATTTTATAAAAGAAAATTATCAAAATACACCGATGCAGTTTATATGAGTTTGGTACAGTTTCAGTTAAAGATTCTTGATTGTTTATTCGATATTTTAATCAAGTGTATTGTGTTATTTTCGAAAGAACATCAAGTTTTGGTTCGTTATTCACATTTGATTCCGGTTTGGATGTTATTTTGGTTTTTCAGAATAAAGCTCAATTGGGTTTGATATATATGTTATTTGGTTTTGCATTGATTTTGTTTATCTAAATCGAGCACTTTAAACTTATAATATTTCCAACAAATACATGTCGGTTTAAATACTACTACTACGTACATGTCTGCATTCTCCGTAAATAGTTTTCGAATGAACAAATCAAGCTTTTCAAATTTACCTCGTATAGACCGGTGTGTTAATTATTGAAGATTTTTAGAATAAGTATTCTAATTGTTAAGTGAATATCAATTAATTTGGTAGGTATAACGAATAAACAATCAAGAATCTAGACGAGTAGACCTATTTGAACTAGTATAACTCGTAACTGGATATTTTTATATTTCAAGTTTTGAAAATTTACCTACAAATTATTACAAATTTCACGTCTAAAATGATACTATACAACTTAAAAGTAAATTTTGTTTTCCATAATAGTTGAAGCTCGATGACCATAATATTTGTTTGATGATACCTTAAAGTGTAACCAATTTAAATTCGGATAATACCTTAAACCTTTACCTACGGATTAGTCTCTTCTCGGGATAATCTTAACCACTTTTGTCTCTGTTATGCAACATCTGAAACTTTCGTCTATGTAAACTATACTAACCTATGAAATGAAAACCCAATCTTATATGATAGCATCTCTCTTTGTAAACCTATCAGAAATGGTCCAATAAAATACTACTAATTACTAATTGTTTACATAATATACAATGTGTGGTGGGGAAAAACGAAGTGTGACACTATTGGTGAGGAGAAATTCCACATGGACTATACTTTTCCATAGTGGAATAGATGGTCGCAACTGATTGGTCCAGCGTCTGTTGGACCAAAATCTCAAGGTCCCCATTAAGATAGATACGCTTATATCTCTATCTTGTCGTGCTTTTTAAAATTCAAAACTCAAAATCGTCTTTCTATTGGTTGTTTTTTTATTTTTATTACTTTAATTGTACTTGTTCAGTTGTTTGGCTCGTTATAATCCTGAACACGTGTGTGTATACGTATAGTTCAGGAATGAATCATGAATGCATGTACCGTGTACGATGGATTGAATATATAATTTATAAAAAATATGATATATTTTAGATATGACATTACAAGAAAACAACTTGTATTCCTATGAAAATTTTGATGAAATATTTGGTAAAAAAATTTTATAATTAATATTTTACGCAATTTTGACGAAAAATATAAAAGTGATGGGAAAGTGGTAGGAAATTTCCTACCAAATATTTCGTCAAAATTTCATAAGATATTTCCTACCAATAACTTATCACACCGTCAAAATTTTTTTAAAAAATGGTAGGATCAATGGCTGGTAAGTATTTCGTAGGAAATTTCCTACCAATTTTTGACGAAAAATTATGTGTAAAAAAATCGTAGGAATTTTATAGGAAAATTTCAACTTTTGTATCACATCGATGACCTAAAACAATTCACATGATGAAGTTGCTTTATAAATAAAACCTTCATCTTCCCTTTAATTAATGTATTTTTTTCTATATATAGTATCTTTATATATTCTCTATATATAGTAATAATTGAATTAATAATTAATTCATCTTTTAGTTTCAATTTAATTTAATTTTTAGTTTTAAAAAATTAATTTTTTTTCACAAAATCTGGTAAGTGGTAGGAAAATGGTAGAAATATTTTTTAGAAAATATGTAGGTAATGTTTCATAAAAAATTGGAAAGAATTAAACTGAAGGGAGATGGAAGTAGTTTGGTAGGTATTTTCCTACGAATATCCTACCGCTAAAATTTTTCTACCATAATTTTTGTAGGAAATTTTTTGTGATTTTTCTACCTTCTAAAACTTCCGACGGCATAGAACCTACAAAAATATTTGGTTGGAAATTGTTAAGAAAAGTCGGTTTCCTACGTTTTTCTGATGAAATATTTGGTAGGAATATGTGATGTTTTATTGTAGCGTGAGTTTATTTAACTTATGTCAATGTAACTGGCATAACTTTATGATTTATCTATATATATAGTCATATTTACTCCAATCTAAAGTTAAATAACAAAAAATGAAAACGAACAAAAGAACATAGACTAGTCAACTAGTAACTCATATGAGTTTTTAAATCGGTTACAAAAAAAATAATAATATGAGTTTTTTGTTGGGAGATGGGACTCGCTCCTTATACATATCTTGAATTTTTTTTATTTTTTTGGTAAAATTGATTACAATTTTTTTTTGGGGTTATATATATATATATATCTATATTTATAACTAGTTTTCTTTTTTTATAAACTACGTTCCGAGGATAGTTTTGTTGTTGTTAAACTTTAAAATATATGACGTATAATGTAGCTGACTACAGAGACTTCTGTCCTTAGTTCTTACAGAGACAAAAGAGTGATCAACTTCCAATGGTGGTAACGAACTAGATTTAAATCACGGACTAGGTAGTATAAGTTATATGTAAAGCATAATCCATGCATATATAGATTATTAGCTTTTGACAATAGGTATAAATATATACACGCTTGATCGTGTAGATTTCGGGTTTTAGCTTCTTTTGCTAAAGATAATTCGGGTTATAGCTTAACCTGCGGTTGTTCATATAAATGATATGGATGAATTGGTACATTATATGTCCAGTAATACACACACCTATAAACAAATACGTACAGTGTTCAACTAATAACGATTTTGTTTTTGTTTTATTACATTGATCATGCATACTCCCTTGTCATTCTATCACATATATTTTTATTAGAAATCTATTTTACCTTTATTTGTATATTTAATTAATTATTTTTTCTATTTAATACACTAAAACAATAAGGAAAACTAGATTGTTGTTCAAAATTTTTCATTACAAATACAAGAAAAAACCTTTTTAAAAAAAAAAAATGAAACTCTTGTTTTAAGAGGAAGTATATACATGTGTGAATTTTCTTGTGCCAACAATTTGTGTATGAAGTTTGTTGTCAACTTTAATACGTTGAAATGCTTTGTTGATGAGGGATGCATATCATAAAAATGGAACCAATCATTAAATCTGTTATTCTCATATGCTATACGCTTGCCCTAGCCACGTGTTCAATGTCCTTTACTTTCCTCTTCTATCTCTCATATTCTCAAACTCTCAACCTATAACTTTTTGCCCATCTTTTTTTAGCAACAATTTTTTTTTATACCAAATACAATAAAGCAAAAAAAAAAAAAAAAATTGAACCCTACTAGAGAGAAAGTGAGATCGAGGCAGAGTCGAGTCAAGTCATGGAAGACGACGGAAAGCGGCGGCAAACTCCTGTTTTCGACGGTGTAACGAATCAGGACAGAACCGTTATAAGCAGAATAATGCAAAGGTTTCGTCCGATCGCACCAAAACCAACTGTCGGTGAATCTTCAGACGATTCAACAAGCTGCAAGATCCTTGGAAGAAACAGAAGATCTAAAAGAAAGTATGTTAGGGTTCGGAATAAAAACATCAGTACTGGTAGAATAGTTAGTAAAAAGAATGGTTGCGATGGAGAGAACATAAAGACCGATCTTGGTTGTGATGATAGAAGCGATATCGTTACGCTTCAGCTTTTACCAGAGAAGGATAATAGAGATCTAAGAAGTAATCAAGAAGATCAAACTGGTCATGATGATGAGTACTATGGTTCGATCGTAGGGCTGCCGTCATCTTCAGATCGGACGGTGGTGGAGTCCTGGTTGACGGTGGAGTATGTGAGTGACACGTGTACTGACTTGGGAGGGTATCACATCCTGGAGCTAAGCCGTATGCATCAGGGAGAGGAGAGAGTAATGAAGTTGTTAGAGGTTGACACGTGTCCTTGGTTAGTTTCGGATGGGTCAAACCGGGTCTATTGGGTTAACAGGGCGTACCGGAGAATGATAGGAGCATCGGATGAAGAGGTGAATATCAAAGTGTGGCTGGTGGTGGCGATGGATCTTATGGAGGAGATGGCGTGCATGGTGGAGTTATATGGTGCGATGACGTGCAGGGTTAGGGTTCGGTATGAGCCGTCCACGTGGAGGAAGGAGAATGGTCAATCGGAGTCGGAGGTTAAGATGACGGTGCCGTGTGATGTATGGAGGATGGAATCAGGTGGGTTTGCTTGGAGATTAGATGTTGAATCAGCTCTAAGACTCGGCAGGTAATTGAAAACGGGAATGATATATTCACAAACAGAACCAATAGTAAAATATACTACACTATATAATATACATGCATTTTTTTACATATGTATATATAACCAATATACGTGTCTTTTAATCTATATATACGTACTTTGCTAGTTTGCTGTGACGAGT